AATTGTTGAAATTGAACACAGTTGAATGCTTGAGAGCCCAATAAGAACATTTACGACCGAAACCCATCAAAGGTGTAACTTTTTCGTTCATTTTTCCCGTCTTTTTGCTGTAGAAATGCTGTCCAGAATGATGGCGATTTGGCAACTTTGCCCCCTCATTTCTCAAAAACCGTGCGTATACTCAAGCTAAAATTTTTACCAGAGTTTTAGGGTATCATAAGGTATCGTTTGGGTCCGGTTTCAGAAAAATCCCTTCTGGCCCAAATTGTGCCAAAAAACGGTCGTTTTTGGCGTCGCTCTTTAACCTCCAGGCATAAAAAGTTATTAAACAGTATTTAGCTGAAAAATTCAATGCAACAATACTGGAAATAGGTGAACTGCAGCAGCACTGCTACTGTTGCAAGGCAATACTGGACCCACTTTTGTGATAATATGGCAACTTCGCTACGTATGTACTGAGAGATGAAATTTAAAGGGAGAAAAAAATTCTTATTGGTAAACTAAGTTTCTATAATCAAAATGCAGATAAGATACATGGGATAAAATGAGACTTTTCTGCTCGAATTTTTTTGTTATCAAACCACATTGAAGAAGGGTAGTAATAAGAATAAGACCCTTTGAAGTTAAGTGAAAAAAAAAATTAAATATTTTGAGGTGGCATGAATAATATACGGCAGTACATTCTGTACATATACTTTTCATTTTAGGCAAAAAAAAAAGAAAGAAAAAAAAAGAAAAAAAAAAAGGTAAAAAGTTGAAAAAAAGAAGGTTTGAGGGGATCTCCGATTGCATGGCGGGTTTCAAAAGTAGAGGCCCCTGCAAGTTCTCAATATTTTTATTTTTTACGTTTAATGTAGCCATGAATAGGTAAAACAGATAAAGACTGCACAGCCCAAAATTTGAGTTATTTGGTGCCACTGCAATTCAAAAGATTTGATTTATTTCTTAAAACTTTAGAGGACAATATACTCCCTAGAGATAACTCAAAAGAAAAATTTTTGGATGGCGAGAAAATCTTATTTTGGCCAGGAGAATAGATACTCAAAGTATACTTGCATTTCAACTTGAGACTTCTTATGTTTCTCGAGGCATTTATAAAAATATAAAATCATTAAACATACGTACCAATTAAGGGAGAGGAGAATGTTTGAAGAGGTTAAATATTTACAGGACGGACAAAATCACTCATTTATTTTTATTTCTACTCCGGGTGCTTTCTTTTAGAGACTTGGGGGCAAAATTCTTGACACTAAAAGCTCCAGCCAATGAATGATCAGAATTATTGTAACGGTCCCACTAAATATCAACGGACTGCCTTCTCAAAAGATTGAACACTCAACACTTAGTGCAAACAGAAGGTGAATTAACTACGGGCTATATACTACAGGAAATCTGACAGCAATGCAGTGCAGGAAAATCAACAAAAATGTACATCTAGAAAAAAGAAAAAAAATACGAACCAACGAACGAACGAACAAACAAACAACTAAAGAAAAAAAAATGTTAAAAGATTAAATGAATGAAAAAGTAACACAATTAAGTGACATTGAGGCAGCAAGGTGCTATCACGGCACACTTTTTACAATCTGCTAGGCAAGTTCTCGATGCGACAACAAATTCTTCAAACTTTCAGGGAGAAAAAAAGGGTGTTTCTGTTGGATATTCCTTCTCAGGTACAAGGCTAATTGAAAGAATCCTCTTAATTTGCTTATGCAGAGTTCCTTTTAAAGTGCATGGGTAACGCCCGGATGCAAATGTTAGGTTGGATTTTTCAGCCAAAACGCTGTTAAATTTTACAACGGTTTCACAAAAAAATACGACCAAAAATTGAATATAAGGCGCTGATTAATTCAAATTCTGTTCATGACCGCAAATGATAACAGGCATGGAGCAAACCTGAGAACTATTATTTCTGAGCATGTAAAAACAACTGCAGACTTTACAGTTAAAGGTATCGCAAAAGATTTGGCAATAACTCTTGTGCAGGCAAACAAAAATAGTTACAGTAGGACAGGTCATGTAATAGAACTGAATTTCTAATCATTTCTGAGATCGATGAAACTATTATTTCAATGTTATTTTCTAGATTTCTGGAATGTTATATTAGCTTCTGTTACATTAGTGGCTGAGAAAGAAGTACTTACCAGCTGCTGTTAAGTAAAATTAGTAATTTTGCCAAACAGTAAAATAGAAACAGTAAACAAATATTAAAACAGCATGAACGAAATCGAATGATACGTAAATCACTAAGGTATGAAACACGAGTAAAAAAAATATTTTCCCATTGTCATCATCACACGACCAAATTTATCAACTGTAAAAGTAAACATATACATTTAACTTTTTAAGTATCAAAAGAGAATTTTTTTTCGAGATCTTGTATTATTAAAGCGAAATATGATACTTGGAAGTAGGACGACTTGATCTAAGCGATTTGATAAAAGTGAAACCAAAATTGCTCACAAATTGCTATACGTCGACCACGCATACATTGTGAACTGTCACTGAGTGGGGAAGAGGGTGTTCGGTAGATGATTCTGTCCGACATATTCTGTCATGTTAGTGATCTGTCTGAGCAGCATTGCCCAGTTCTCTTGGTTTCCCTGTTTTGCATAGTATGAAAATTTCCTGAAAACATCCATTTTAGAGTCTACGTTGAAGAAGAGTAGGTAACGCTTCGATATAAATGGCAAGGGGTTTGATTTATGTTTTACTTGAACTACCATTACTTCGTCAATTTTTGACCAAATGAGTCTATTATAGACTGAATTGAAGTTGATCTTTCTGATAGAGCCAAAATAAAGTCTCTGGCTTTAAATTACAGAACTAGTCCGAGTGCTTTTTGGATATCCTATGCATTAGAGACTAATATCTACGTTGTTAAAAATATCAGTCCTTGGCTACCATGGTGGCCTAAGGTAGGACTAACATACTACAGAAGAGCAGAAATCGGGGTACCCACACTTAATACAAAATTTTAACGGCAAAAATTTGTGTAATTTATCCTGATAAATTCTAGTCACGAAGAAACTAAAATGACTTTTTAACACAAAAACACAATTATTATGTATTAAAATGTATCTGAGGAATAAACAAAATAAAGATCATGAATAAAAGAAGTTAAGATAAAAATTGGAAAATTCCTATCCACGAAAAAATCCAAACAAAAAATTATGTTATTCATGTGCCATCCAGGCCATGTTGATAACAAGCATTGCATTCATATATTTATCTTTCAGGACTAATAGTCTTGCAGGAGTGCAACAAACATTACCAGTCTTTTGACAATTTCTACTTGAGACTATCAACAAAAGAATTGGCATTATGACCTACATGGTAGGTATTCTCTGTCATTTGTAAAAAAAATTTAGGACTAAAACATTTTAGACTCTAATGAATCATAGGTTTTTAATGTTAAAAATTGACATTTTTCCCCCAGAAAACCCTTGTTTTCTGGAGAGTTCGACTTTCCAAATGACTTTTACGCAATGAAAAGAAATTGCGGTCATTTCTGAATTCCAAAAAGTTCGTGTGATAGGCTTCATGTGAACATTTACAAAAAAAACTTGATTTTGTCATTTAGACTCAAAGCAAATGTTTGCACACGGTAGGTGAACAGGCGGATTTTGTCATTTCTTCAAAGAAACTTCGGTATGAGGAAGTGTGGGAGAGGGTCTCAGGTGTGTCATGGTTAGCTCGGTCTATATTTTGGCCTCCTGAATTCGAAAATAATCAGGATTTCAAACCGTAATCTACCAGTTTCATAGAAAATCGAATTTTTCGAGGAAGTGTAAAATTTTTCAGCAGGAAAATGTTCACTTGGCAAAAAATCCCAATATAATAGGAATAAACTATTGGTATTCTCGAACTCTGCCCTCAAAAATACACAGATTCGAGACTTGAGTGTGTCGCTCATCAACAATCTAGAAAAATGAATTTTTTAAAAAAAAGAAGACAAAGAAGGTTATACTAGGTAAATTCTTGCAGGAGTTTGAGGGTGCAGTCTCTGAATGTTGACCAAATTATGAATCATTCTATGGCTTTTTTTTCTTACATAGATTCGAAAATTTGACACCTTGCCATGTTCATTTTGAACTTTAGCAGTTCGATTTATTTAACTAAGCTGCACCCTACGGAGGGCATTGGCAGCCAGCTAAAGGTTAACCCACACTTTGGTTGCGTATTTCAGTATTGATCGAGACATGATCGAGGTCAAGATGAAGATCACTTCTTAAAAAAAAAAAAATAAACACCGATACATACTGCCTACGCTGATGCCAATCTTTGTTATGATCAAGTCTTTTACTCTTGCTAACTTGGAGGTAGAAACATGCAACACATGAAACATCAAATTAAGTCTTTCACATACATTTTTCTTGACATTTTTAAAGTTTCATTTATCATGAGAGGCCACTGCAGGCTCAGAGGTATATATGGGTGTTCTAATTCCAGAAAATGACCAAAATTTAGCTAAATTTCAACCAATAGAGAATTTGCAGGTGTCTAAAATTTTGTAAATTTCATCTTTAAAATGATACTGCTAGGAAAACCGAGTGCAAGGATATCCTCTGTTTCTAAATTGGACAATTGTTGGAGGAAATATGAAAAAATAACCTAATCTGCTAAAATATATTTGTTCAAATGGAAAATGCTGCCAGATGACATCATGAGGCAGCACTTTTTCTCACTTTTAAATCTATTTTTCTCCAATTCCCCATGTTAGAAAAAAATCGTTAAAAATACTGCGAACTCAGCTCATTAGGCACTCTCAGATAAAGCAATAAAATTTTTGTGTGCCCATTCTCCATTCATGTTCAAATATAGACCAACAACTTGCAAAGTTTGGAGGGTTTATCTTGATGGGAAAGCTATTCATGATGTTAGCCTGATTCGGGAAAACAAAGTGAAATAGACAACGACTGTTAGGTGCAGACATTGCTTGCAAAGAGAGCAACGACTATGACAGACCACGTGAGAGAATAAAAGAAAAAACTAATGACTAAGCTGACCAAAGCTGGGATCAAATAGACTTTTTTTTATCAAAACAAAAGATAAAGATCAAGGATGTTAGAGTAACAAAGGACATACATGACTCCGCACACCTCAAAGGGTGGTTTCATCTAGGTAAATGTTTGGTAACAACACAAATAAAAAAAAGCATACAGTAAAAACTTGGAAATCTAATTATAAACAATTATAAAGTACAAAAAATAGATCTCCCTAAAATTAGAAAAGGTTGACACAGAAACACTGGGGCTGATTGATTGCTAGAGCAACGTTTAAAGTAAAAGATCAGAGAAAAACCAGACCAAATTTAACAGAGAGGAACTGAAAACTTGTGAGTTACATCAACATCGAACTAGTGAGAGGAAGAGTTTTGGAGTTTAACTCCAAAAATCTCAATATTTAACAGAGATAAAGTTTAAAGTCCATCATTACATTCAAAAAATTTTTTCTTGAGTTAGAATTTTTGACACGGATGAATGAGCAGCTATTTAAACTCATGAAAAAACATTTAGTGCCCGATGTACAATTGGAGAAACTCCATTTCAGCAAGAAGCGAATTTGGAATCAACTAGTTCAATTGACTGCTATAATAATGCCTTTGGACATCATTCAGTCTCATTATCCATAAGGTGTGTACAGTGTTTTGTCTGTAGTTTCCTAAAAATGAGAGAAGATGTATCTGAACGATTTTGGCACGGATAAATTTAATTAATGTCTGCCAAAAAAGGATAGCTCTTATAATCATGGAGATAAAAACTTAGAAATTAAACAGATTTTATAGGTAATCTTTGTTTAACTATAAATTTCGATCTCAAATAATTCAAAATCGATGTAACTAACTCGTTCTTCTGCTCAGCCACAAAACTCATGTTTTGATTGATCCCAAAGTGCTTCCCTACTTCAGAAACCAATCGAGACATGTGTTGTTAACTACATGCTGTCATTAATTACTTTCCAACCATTTTCCATGTACTAAAGTAATCAGGATAAACTCAGGTGTATACACTTGTACAATCAAAGCTTTTCTGATCAGCTGTGAAAAGGGTCACCTGTACCTGTACCTTACTATATTTTAGTGGTTAAATCTCCCATCAGATTACAATGTTTCTAAACTGTATTTTGTGATGCAAAATGTTTCTTGTCAAGATGAGTTTCTTTAAATATTTTCTGCCATGATTGAGGGTAGAGTTTTTGAGAAAACTTTGAGCAATCTTTGTATACATTTTAATCATCAATACTTTAAAATTGAAGATTTAACAAATTGATTCTGACTTGGAGTTAACTGTCATAAAATGAAGTAATAAGTCAAATTAAAATTTCATCAATGGTCCCACTGCTTATGCATCAACCTTTGTAGTTGTAGCAATTTTTTGGACTTAACAAAAGTGATTTCATTCAACTTATGAAAGAAAAGCGTAAAGGCTGAACTTTCTTTTGATCATTAACAATTTTTGTGTAAGGACTTTTAGGCCTTTAAAAAACTTGAATTAGTATTAAAAAGTATTTAGTTCTTGGAAGTCCTTAGAATCGATACAAAATAAGTCTACACACAGACAGAAGATCATCTGTCTACAGTTAAGTATTGAAAGTAAATGCAAGAATCAAGATTACGGGATCTTCTAATGCACTGTTTTTCGTGCTCCGTGAGTGCATAAACTTATTTGGCGGTGACTCTACTAGGTAGTTTACCAACATGGATGCTTAATGCTTGCAAAGAGATTCAACATTTAGAAAGATCATGCAATCATTTAGAGCGAAAAATGTTGGATTGCAAAAAACAACTGAGACTAAAATTCTTCTGAGAGAACCTTTCCACTGATACGAATGTGGTTTGAAGGTGGTTTTAAAGCAAACCATTAGCTTTCAGATACAACATTGAAGAGTTATTGCGATGAAAATTAGCAGAGATTATATTAAGAATGAAGGATTGTTGTTAAAGAGTTTTCAAATGAATGAGCCCCTAGCGTTTCATTACAACAATTTTAATTTTCAAAATTTCGAGTATAGGTTTAACCTCATTTCAATCGGTGGGATGGCTCTTTCAGGAGAATTTTAGTCACAGTTGTTTTAAGATACCCCATGTCATACCACGAACTGGACTGTTGTTTGCAAGCATCTTACATGCTTTCTGGGTCAAATTCAGAAAATTGGATACTCTTTAAGTACTTATTTTTTCACCACCCAAAATTAATTTGACATTGACAAACAGTCGAGAGACCATTAAACACAATTTTTGTGAACTATTTCTTTTGATTCTAATGAACGAGTGGATCGTCTTTTGTAATAAAATTCAAATTTACAGCGAAGGGTTCACTAGAAAGGCTCAGAGCATATTTTTTTTTTTTATAATCTTTTAATCTCTGACTTGCTACATTTATTCAGTATTATGAGGCTCTAACATTAAAGTCACTTTTAACATCATGTTGATGGCCAAAAGGCGAAACCACGTATCTCCACTGCAATGTTGCAAAATTTTTACTCCTGTTCGATTTTTTCGAGAAAGCAAGCCGAATTTGTAGCTCGAAATTTACACAAAACATTCTGGTAACAGAAAAGAAAAATCGAGGAAGTTTTCAAGAAATTACGTTAACTAGTTTCTAAAAGAAAAAATAAAGTGTAATAGGGAATCTGCATCATTGCAATCGGACATAAGTGGTTTCGCACTTTCGCTATGAGTATTTGGGACTTAGCTTCACTATGCTTTGATTCTCATGAACTTTTGATTCCTCAGAAGATTCCTCAAGCTTGTTGTTTTCGTGGCTCTGAGGTTACAATCATAATATCACACAGCAGTTGCAAGACTTGCAATCCTCCTCTTTGTTGTCTTTTTTTTGTTTTAACCTTCGGAAAAGTTTGCAATCAGAAAAGCTAGACTTTTTTGCTGAGGGCAATTTTGTTTTGACATTCACAGTTGAAATCACATCAACAACAGACAGTTTCCTTTCTGTCTCTGCTTTGCTGAGCAGTTTGGCATTTTCGTTGGATGAGATGCTTTTCGAGACGAGTTGTTTTGTCGGGCTTTCAGGGTCTAGAACTTGTTCGTACCATTCTTCATCCGATGAGCTATGGTGTGATATTAACCGCGGCAATGATGTTTTCAGAACCGGATCTGATATCAATTTCATGCGTCGATTGTGATTGTGCTTGTGATTTGGTACTGAAATGGATGAAGATCTTGTGCGGTACTCGTCACCAAGAATATCTATATAAACTTCATTTGAATTTGTCATACAATGGCAAGTTCCAGTCTTTTTCAAAACGATCGTTCGTTTATTTTCTATGAGGGATGCAGAGTGTACTCTTTTGACCAACCTTTTATAGTGATGATGAATTGGAGGAGCAGGAGCAGACCTTTCAGATGCCGGTGAGTCCAACTTAAGCTTGCTTATACTAATTCTTTGGCTCGCTTTCAACAATTTCGATGAGTTCTCACAACTTTCAACTGGTTTAACTTGGTTTATCTCTTCTGTACAATGATTGAAATTAACTATCAACGCCTCATCTGAGTCTAAACTATCAACAATGCTATCTACATTGAAAGTTGTTTCAGCAGACATGTTTTCAGCAGTCTCAACCTCTCGTTTTGCCACATCAGTTTTTGCCTGAACCACTTTCAAGCTGTCACTGAGGCTCCTCATTAGCTTCGAACTCTCAGATGAGCCACCGACAACATGCGAGGAAACATCTTGAGGGGAAATCAACCAATCAACAGACTTTAAATTTGACTCACTTTTTGATTTAGTTACCTCATTGAGGATCCTAGAGTTTAATGAACTAGAGTGCACATTATTACTATCAGTCTGAATACAATCACATTTGGAGAATTTCAAGTCTTCAGCTTGACTTTTCTCGAGCTTCATTTTCTTTTTACATGAATCCTCTTTTATATTTTCCACAAGAAATTTATTTGAAGAATTCAGAGATTTGCTCTGGTCACAAATTGTTTTTAAGGTAAACTGGTCTTTGTTGTTTGCTACAGTTTCTACAGTGTCAGGAAAAAGAGTAAGACTACCATTCTCTTCAACTACAGCTAGGCGGGTAGACTTGTTAACATGCGATGAAGGCGTGCGTTTTTCATGTTGCCAACTCAAGATTTTTTTAAGCTTGCAAGCACACAAAACTAACATGAATGGATTGACTACATGGTTCAATGTCTGCTCAATGGTACCTGCTTGGTTGACTAGGTTCGCTCGTAAGTATACCGGCTGCCATTTCAGAGAGGGAGAGAGAGAGAGAAAGAAAAATAACAACATTATCAATTACAATTCATAATTACGAAAAAAATTGAATAAAATTCCTACCAAAGCACAAAAAAAAAAAAGAAAAAAAGGAAGGGGGAATAAAACTCATTATCCGTAAGGAACTCCTTCTTATCAACTCCAGGTGAACTGTTTGTATATTTAAAACAACAAAAGCTATCTATATATTTAAAACTCGTGATGCTTTTTCTGTTCACCTTTGACCTTGAGAACTACCCAACCAATTTACTTCAGGTTTGCTTTAAATGAAAGCTTTAGACCTGTGGACGAGCCAGCACCTTTCGGCTTTTAAATTTTTGGGACTGACATTGCAAAACGTTTCTTGATTGAAACCCACTTATTTTCCCTTCTACTGTTGTACAGTTTGTTCGCTTTCCATCTCAAAAGGTACTCAATCGATTTCTTCCGAGTTTGTTTCAAATGAAAGTGCTGGATCTGCAGAGAGGCCAGCACCCTTGGGTTGTTCGATTTTCATGACCGACGTTGTAAAATTCACTTGATTTAAATTGACACACTATCGACTATCAATGCACAGTTTGTTGGGTTTCAATCTTGGAATCCACAGAAATTAACTTAGAATATTTTCTTAAAGAAAGCTCTCCATCTGCAGATGTTCCTGTAACCTTTTATTTTTTCATTTTTAAAATCAGTGTTGAGGATGCATCTACATTCAATTTAACATAACCTTCTCTGGGGTTTGCTATTTTTAATTGAAAAAAATGTGTTATACTCATCAAAAAATTCAAGAAACTAAAGTTTTATGGGTACTCATGAAATTTTAAAGTCAGTTTAATTGAGCTTTGCTACAACAGTTTAATAAGCCTGCATCACCCACTGTGACTAGAAAGTTGGGCTAAAATTGTTCTGAAGTTCTACGTTGACTGAACATTTGACCAGAGCTACTATTGCCAGAGGATATAACTTTTTGATTCTTAAAAATATTTGAAAATTTGAGCAGAGACAGATTAAATAATCATATAATGAGCCACTTCAATGAGCAGTGAATGGACTGAGTTGAAAATCACCATCTCAGATTAAATCCTAACTAAAGTAGAACCTCAATATGTTGTGTCCCAATAGAACAGATCCTGTAATTAACAGATCAACTGTTCAGTTTCTTAAAGGGTACTTAATTATTGGGCTGGGGTCGAAAATCACAAGCAATTTCAATTAAACAGATTATTTTTCCAAAGAATATATTTCTTAATGTTTAATTTCAGGAAAATTCCCTCCTCCTTATTTTCAACTAATTTCTGCAGATGAGAGAGAGGGTTTACAAATGTTAATAAGGGAGCTCTCTATTGAGCTCTAGCAAATGGGACTCAGTGAGTGGAATTCTGTGTGTTGCTTGGAGCTATCAAATAATCCAACGAACAAGACAGATGAGCTGTAACTTGTTTCCGTGAGGATATCAGCTAAGTCTGACAACATTAACGGGCTCTTCTTGCAGCCCAAAGGAGGAAATGCAATAGTGCCAGAGTATCTACAGATAGAATGAAAATATTGTGATTCACGTATCTAGTTCATGGGGCCCAACCCATTCAAAAAATAATAAGCAATTCAACATCGAGCTAGACTAACAAAATTGGAAATTAGCAGCAAACCATTGCAATGAGCAATATGGTAGAAATAACTGAAGGAAGGAGCACAGGTTTGCAGTGTATTATACCCTTAAAAATTAGAGTCGAAAATGAACAGAAGATTCAGAAAATCAAATTGGTCACTCTTTGACAGGGCAGCGAGCATTTAATCCAATTGCAATACACCTGTTTCCATCCGAAATTTTCGTTTTTCGATCTCAACTTTGGACAAAGTGACAGAAATTTTTTTTTTTTAGAATTTCCACTGTCTAGTTTGAATGCATCAATCATTTTCTACTTAAAATTTTGGTGAGGTAACATACATTGTGGTTCTCAATCTCCTACCCTGTCTCAACTGTATAATGTTCCATTGTATCTCTTAAAATGAAAGAAAACAATAGTGTATTTGCTTCGGAAAATACTCTAAAACTTGGGCGCTAGGAAAGAAAGATCATCACACAATGGACCACTGGACAAGGTACAAATTTAAGCATTCTGCTACATGTTTCTTGACCAGAATTTCACGTAGAGCACGATTCGCGCAATGAAAACTAATGAAACAAACTCCAAACGAAGATATTGATGTTTTTATTTCACATTGGTTACGAGGAATTTGAACTGCCCGCTCACAAGAAACTCAAAGCTCTACATGAGTCAAATCGCCCACTACAACGGTTTCAGCAAGCTTCTCAATCGAGCAATGTTCATTTCCCACCATGTGTTGTTCAAACTATTAGCAATTTGCTACAACTGAGCCAAAGCGTCAAGATTGAGGTTGCAAGATTTTTATATCGCAGAGACTTTCATGATAACGTTTAGCGAACGATGTAAATCATGCAGAGCATTGAGTTTTCATGAGCTGGTGGTTTGAATTCACGCATAAAGAATCATTAAATATCTTTGGAAGGAGTCGATTTCGGTAATTTTCGTTGTGCGCGTCGTATTCTACGTGAAATTTTAGTTAAGAAACATGTATCAGAATGCTGAAATTCGTACCTTCTCTAGTGGTCCATTCACTTATATTGCTAAGTTCCACATTACTTGCCTGTCAGAGTGAGTCATGGGCATAGCAGGCCTGATCAGCACTAATCTCGGTCAAAAAGCTTAAACTACGTAACTTGCATCAAAAAAGAAACTGGGGAAAAACAGAAATATCCTTACCTTGTGATCCCCCATGCATGTTTGCTTTCCCATGAGTTCATATTCTACACTACCATCTTTAGAGATCTGAAATAGGTAGACGAATTGGACACATCAAAAAAATTGATTCAAAGCCAATTAAGAAAACTGTCAGTCTACTTCCTGCTACCTTCACCCTCAAAAGGTGTTTTGTAGCACCTTTTAAACAACCAAAACTTTTACGAAGATCCATAAATCTAGAGTGATACATTTTTTTTTTTTCAAACAGTTTAAAAGAGTACCTTGTGAATTTTACAGGATGAATTCTTGAACACCCTTGAACATACGCTATGGATTTGAAAAGATAAAATTATTTGTATTTTATGACTATGACCAGAGCTTGATGCACTACTGCATCCTTAAAAGGATTCTGCTTTCAATACCGCTCAATGGCTACTTTTTCTCTTGAGAATTGTCTGATATTTTTGGCTCTTAAAGATCTACCACAACAATTTTGTTTGAAAAATCTTGACTCAGCAATTTGTGAGTCAGACTAATTTGTCAGATCTGACAAATTAGTCTGACTCACAAATTACACCCACACTGCGAATTACACAAAAGCTACAGGTAAAGAGAGAGATAGAGATAGGGAGAGAGAGAGAGAGAGAGAGAATGTGTGTGAAATAATTATATTCATGTATACTTCTTTGTCTATGGCAGTTGCGCCTACATGCATTCGCATCTCCAACTGCCTCATCATTAATTTTTTGGGGTTTTCCCTGTTTCCTCCAGAGAGTTGTTTGATAATGAAGGCAGATGGCGCAAGGATTAAACTCTTGTATAATGCCTTGCATCATGGTCATAATGGAGCTTCAACACCATCTAAGATTTTGCAGGATGCCAAGCTAAGTTTAGCACTTAGCTCTGACTGAGTGTGACCTACTAATGAGGTCTAAAGAGACCCAAACCGGTATAGATTTTTCCAAGTGATGTCAGTTTAGTATTCTAATACATCTGCTTGAGTCGAACACACTCTCTTCTCAGTCTTGCACTGATATTCATCAGAGTTCTTTTTTTTTTTACTGAGAAGAAAGTATTTGGACTTTTTTTTTGCCTTGATCTTCCTGTAGAGCAGTTTAGATCCAACACTATTTTACCATCCAGTTACTTCTTCCACGACTTAATAAAGAAGTTTGTCTAATTAGAAATTAGAAGGCTTCAGAAGAGATTCCAGAAAAGATAAAATCCTTGGAAGAGACTACATTGAAACCTGATAGAGAAATAAAGGGAAAATAAGAAATAAGAGTTAAAAGCTTACCTCATGAATTAAATTCTTTGCAGCAGAGCTGAGGACTACTCGATCACACCATGCTGGACAGCGTGTGGTAGTGTAGTGGCTTCCGCTCTCTGCATCCTCTTCGAATGGATATGAAGGGGGAAATGAAATTGGAAACTCGAATAAAATGCCATCAAAAGAATCTTTCTCGACATCATATTCTTTCAACTGAAATTAATTTTCAAAGGGTTAAAAAACAGTGAAATAAGCAGAAATGGAGTGAACCAACAAAATGAATGTCATATCTCAAAATGTTGTCAAAAACTTACCATTGTTAATTCAAATTAAGTCATCCACCTGATCAAAGTTCAGGTTTCATGATTCATTTTCTGAAAATAAGGAGTCAACTAAGCTTCTAGTTTTTTCAGATTTTTTTTTGGTCTTACTTAAATGACGAAGAAGCCCTGTTTAGAAGATGCCATAAATGGCATCCATTGGAAATGATATTTTTGGCATGCTCTCCTGATGTAGCAAGGCAGGAGAAACAGTATTTGCTGATCGGCTGAACCAAGCTTCAGGCAACGCCATACACCATTTACTCAACTGTCCGCTTTTGATTAGCTTTTCTTTCCCTTAGAAATGATTCAATGAACTTTCCAAAAAAAAAAAAATTGGGGTTTTTTCACAAAATTTTAAGTAAAGAAACTATACTAGAGCCCTGCAAACATTATTTGTCACTGCTCTAATATGAGAAAAAAAAATTAAGATACCTGCAATTTTCAATGCCACTGACCCATTCTCACTAAGTAATAACATTGAAAATTCCCCTTACTTTCAATTTTTATCTCTATTGAGTTGTCATTTGAAAATTTCTAAGGTCAATGAATTCTCTTTTCCCTTGAAAATCATACCATTTTTAAGATATTGACCGTGGAAATAGCTGTTTTGAGTCAACCGATTACCAAATTAATGGTAAGACAGCAACTAATCGCAATAGAAAATACGTAATTCTACTTGACAACATTTTTTGGCAGTTTTCTAGATTGTGTGTTCATTTAGGTTAGATTTTCTTTATCTCTGGTGCAAACCTGATTGCTGGCACCAAAAGAAAAGCAACACTTGTAAACAGGGTAGATTTAAAAGTGCATAAAACAGACACCGCGGATTCTTCATTCTGAAGAGTATTTTAGACTATTTGATGTGCTCGACAAGAATTTTGGGTGATCCGACATTTAAAAGTCCTCTCAGTTGATAGTATCTTCCAGGGGTGCAGAAAGCGTTCGACAGCAGGTCAGAGGCCAGTTGTGGGAGAAATATGAAGGCATCCAAAAAGGGGAGGAAAATGTGAAGCAAGAAGGCATCGAGATTTTTATTTTTTCAATTTGAGTATTATTCCTTTGCAGGAATGCACTACTTCATGAAAGAAACCATTTAATGCACTACTTTTGAGAAGGAAACTGCTAAGCGTGTTATTTTTTGCGAATGGAACTGCAAGATGCATTCTTTTGAGAAAAGAAGATAGTGAGAGGCATGGTCTTATGTTGACAGCAATGTGAAGGCTGCCTCAAAAATGTAAAGGCAAAGAACAATCTGTACCCTTAGTTTCTCCTGTGCGCAACAGACTCATTGAAATCCATTTTTTTCCAATGGAAGTTCCCGGATTTAGTCATTCTGCACCTACAAATTTACATTCATCCTTTTCATAAAATATTTTTTCAGCTGTTGTAATTGGGATGTGTAATGAAATGTTGTCATCATTGCAAATATTCAACATTTATTAAAACAGGATTGCACAGTTCACTTCATAAATTTCCTCATCAATGCATAAATACATATTAGAAAGAGGTGTGTGAAAAAACGGCCAAAAATGCCTCAAGGCATTTTCGAATTTTGAACACATAGGGTGATACAGTAGCTTCCGAGACGCCCAAAACCGGTTGCCGTTTTGCTTAGAAGCGCCGGGTTGCGACGTTGCCATTTTTTAAAGTGGAAACCTTTAAAAATTCATATCTCCCTTGCATCTCAACCGATTTAAATGAACTTTTTTTTAAAATGCTCCTCTTAAATAGAGCTTTCTAGTAGTGAATAGTTTTCTGGGGTTTACTTGGCTTTAAGCGGCACTTACGCGGTTTTAGCAGTTTTTGATAGACACAAAAATTTTGTTTTTATTCTACCACGATTGTGGAATCGACAGAATCTAAACAAAAACCAGTTTAAATGAAAGTTCAGATTTTCACCTTTCTAACGAGCACAAGATCATCCCAGGGAAACGTTTAGTTCCCGAGATATGACCGCTCAAAGTTGGTCACATGCGCTTTTGCGCAATGTGAATGCATCTTATCACTGAATCATTCGTGAACTAGGGGTCCCTTACGTTCGATTAACGTTGAAATAATTACACAGAGCAGTAAGGTGTCCAACACGGGCTATATTTTCACCTTTGGCTGCCGGTGTGCGACGTTGCCATTTTTTGAAGTGAAAACTCATAAAAATGCATAACTCCGCTGCATTTCAACCGATTTCAATGAACTTTCTTTTAAAATGTTCCTCTTAAATAGAGCTCTCTAATGGTATTTAGGTTTTTGGATTTTATTTAACTTAGGGAGGCACTTAGGTCGTTTATATGGTTCTTAGCAGAGATTTTTCATACAAAAAATAGTGTTGCTATTTTTTTTCCTTCTTATTCTTTTTTTTCTTTTTTTCGGGAGGGGGTCTTTCTTCCCCCCCGATTTTTTATAACATTCAATCTTGATCGGAAGATCACCTTCGCATAAAGTATAATGCCAAAATCTTGGTAAAAAAGCAATACCACCTTCTCTTGTACAATGAGAGAGTTACTTTCAATATTTATACACGTAAGTAGGGTGATTACAAGGAACCCTTTTTAGAAAGTTCTTCGTTTTGAATTCTGCCAATTACAAACCCTCCCACACCCCCAAAAAAAAGAAAAAAAGGGAAAAAAATAGCAACACTATTTTTTGTATGAAAAATCTCTGCAAAGAACCATATAAACGACCTAAGTGCCTTCCTAAGGTAAATAAAATCCAGAAACCTAAATATCATTAGAGAGCTCTATTTAAGAGAAACATTTTAAAAGAAAGTTCATTGAAATCGGTTGAAATGCAGCGGAGTTATGCATTTTTAGGAGTTTTCACTTCAAAAAATGGTAACATCGCACACCGGCAGCCAAAGGTGAAAATACGGCCCGTGTTGGACACCTTACTGCTCTGTGTAATTAAATCAACGTTAATCGAATGTAAGGGACCCCTAGTTCACGAATGATTCAGTGATACGATGCATTCACATTGCGCAAAAGCGCATGTGACCAACTTTGAGCGGTCATATCTCGGGAACTAAACGTTTCCCCGGGATGATCTTGTGCTCGTTAGAAAGGTGAAAATCTGAACTTTCATTTAAACTGGTTTTTGTTTAGATTCCGTCGATTCCACAATCGTGGTAGAATAAAAACAAAATTTTTGTGTCTATCAAAAACTGCTAAAACCGCGTAAGTGCCGCTTGAAGCCAAGTAAACCCCAGAAAACTACTCACTACTAGAAAGCTCTATTTAAGAGGAGCATTTTAAAAAAAAGTTCAATCATTTAAATCGGTTGAGATGCAAGGGAGATATGAATTTTTAAAGGTTTCCACTTTAAAAAATGGCAACGTCGCAACTCGGCGCTTCTAAGCAAAACGGCAACCGGTTTTGGGCGTCTCGGAAGCTACTGTATCACTCTAAGTGTTCAAAATTCGAAAATGCCTTGAGGCATTTTTGGCCGTTTTTTCACACACCTCTTTGATGGATTGAAAATGTTTTGAAGGAAAGAGTAAAAGCCTCAGATACAATAAATCTTGGCAATTATACAATGCTGAAAATTATTTATTTTTCTTTGCTAGAGAGAAACAGGACTTACCCATTCACCAGCATTTTCAATGAATATTTGCTGATGATTAGAATGAACAAATTCTTTTTTGCCTAAAGTTAGCACAACCTGAAATCAAACAAAGCACTAATTAATCAGGGTTCCATGTGTTATCAAAACATGACATGTGAAAATAAACAAAATTACTTGGCAATATCCGGTACATCATTAGTTCCGTTACTAATTTAGATTCCCCACCTGTGGAAGCACGGCACATATATCATCTCTCAATGATGTGAGTGATGAGCGGACGCACTCCCAGAGCAGTTACAACTCCGGCCACTAGTGGCAGTTTAATCCCTTGATTCCCTACAGCAACATTGCGCATCACCAACTTGATGGGGAGTTGGTGACGGACTTTTAATACAGGCCGGGGCATGGGCTGGTCAATCAGCATAGAGAAAAAAAAGGAGGTGTTTGCATCTTGAGGTTTGTTTACCCTGTGACGTAGGTCGGTACAACCTGGCAAGCAAAATCCGGAATTCCAAGTATGAAAAACAGATCAAAATATCCAATTTTTTTGCTTAAATCAACTCATGATATAATTTCAAGCACTTTTTATAAGATGACTTTTTTCCATAATTTACACCATTTCCAAGAAAATCGATGATGAAAGTCGCTGTACCGACCTACGTCATCAAAAAAATTCCAAGATGCCCGAAATGCTAACACCTCCTTTTTTTTCTCTATGGTCAACCAGTGCAAATCATGATATAATTTCAAGCACTTTTTATAGGATGACTTTTTTCCATAATTTACACCATTTCCAAGAAAATCGATGATGAAAGTCGCTGTACCGACCTACGTCATCAAAAAAATTCCAAGATGCCCGAAATGCAAACACCTCCTTTTTTTTCTCTATGGTCAACCAGTGCAAATCAACCAGTCTAAAGAGTAACTACTACTTACTATCTCGGCTCAGACCCGAACACATCCCTGCCTTGACCTATATCCCCCTTGTGGCCTGGACCCGCATCCCTGATCACAGCCTGGACCAGTATAATCCCCCAGCGGCTTTGACTTGTATCCCCCCTCTCTCGAGGCCTAGACCCACTATCTGTATGTAGCTTTGGCAGTTTCATCATGTCAATATAGATACATTTGTGTTAGTAACCCTTGACTTGTCGTCACTCAATATTTAACAGATCAACCTCCTTCACCCCACCCCCCTGAATGTTTCTGGAGTGTTTCCATAGTTCATAAAAATGATTACTTTTGAGATATGGTCAAACTTCACTAAGTTGGAATGCATCAGGACCAAGGGTTCATTTCGACTTAGTAGGGTTGTCGAGTTAAACGGGCAGCAAAACAAAAAAACGGGACCAAGGCCATTATTACTGAGATAGCTGGGTTTCCAACTTGGTGAGGTTTGACTGTAAATCCATTTTATGCCTATCTTCATAGTGTAAATTGAGTTACCTAGGATTTCAACAGATTTAAGATTATTACTTTAAAATACAATTCATGGTGCTCTAATAATTCCAAGCCACAGTGACTGGTGACAAACTAAAAGAGGACACCACTTAGGATAAGAGCCCAGTGCCACCACCAATGCATTGCTGCTGTTAGAACAAGGAAGTCATGACAAAACTACGAACTTGGCAATTTTCCTCGGATAGAATGTTGTATATGGTGTCCCTGAATTAGACAGTCATACTGCAGGAGCGAATTCTATAGGTCGAAATAAGACTTTTTCTCTCAGTAAAGTTTTCTCCACAAGTGCCCCTGGTGAAAGCTACGGTCCTATAAAATTTTTGTGGCAATCATTGTTTTCTCTGAGCTCGGAAAAATGGCTATCTGTCAGAATTTTTAGGGATGAATTCATCTGCGACCTAAAACATTTTGAAATATCAATTTAAAGGGGAGTTTCAGGGAGTTTTGGATATTTTGGGAGAAAAAAAATTGTTTTTCGGTAGATAAAGGTGCTAATTTCAGAGCACCACTGGGTCAGGCATTAGAAAATTTCTGAAAATGGCCCTTGCCACTTTCCTTCTTTCGAGATTTTGATATTTTTGCGGTCATTGATGAATTCACTAATAAAAATTCTGATTTGCCATTTTTCATGAGTTTTGGTTCATAATGCGTGTAAAATTGCAGAAAAACGATGATTTGACATTTTTTTGAGGGGGAAGGGGGCTCCTACTAGGGGCAATTTCGGCAAAACTTTACGAAAGAAAAAATTCTCACTTTGATTCAAAGCACATGCTACTGCAGTGAGACTTTTTAACCCTGAGACACACAACATAGAGGGAAATCAAAGCAATTCCCTTCAAAATAGCTCCATCTTCACCGGTGGCGAAGTGTGAGTGATCGATCATTGATATTTCCCCATTTAAAACTATTGTAAAGAATCAATTATTAAGGAGTTCATTGCAAACATTCTGTAAATGGATCCTTTTCTATAGGTTTAGATGGCAGATAAATCAATATATCGAAAAGCACACCACTGATCTTCACTATCTAACCCTCTCATTTTAATTTACAATTCAAATTGAATAGATTTAGAGGGTTACAATACCACAAAGTGACTAAACTACAAAAAATCAATATAACAAACCTCTTCTCCATCCTTTCTGTACAGCAACTTTTGAACGCTATTACTATTAGGACTTTGAACTTGTACAGGATTTAAACCATCAACTAACCTCTAAGAGAAGAATGAAATGAATTAATATACATGAATACAGAAAAAACAAAAATATATTAAAAAATAATTGTGTGATGGCCAATGTTGCCCGTGTCAGCATTGTCATAAAAAGCCAGCCAATGGTCCTCTTGGCTTGCCAAAGTCCACATTGTCCAGTGAGCACAGTCGAGTTGACATGTTCCTATTGCGATTGTGCATAATATGTAGATGAAATAATGATAGTGATAGATACAATCCTGCATTATAATTTGTTGATACCAGAACTTCCTGAGATGATTGATACTTGAGCTTTGTTGTCATCAGTATCTCTTGAGTTATCAACCTGTTTTGTAGAATTTTTCGCTAACCTCATTCTTTAAATATTATTGTTGATAACTTTGAACAGCAACCGTTCTGATTTTTAAGCCTGAAGAGATTTACGAGCTGAATACTGCTGCATACGAAGTTGGATTTATTTATTGGATAAATAATTATGTCACTTTATTGAAATTACTAGCCGCTGTGGCTCGCTTCGCTCGCCTCGCGTCTAGCCGGGGGCTCCGCCCCCTGGACCCCCGGTCACTCGCTTCGCGAGTGACTTACGGCTCGCAAGCGAGCCGTGTTCCGTGCCGTAAATGCAAAAAGATGATAAAGTAATGTAATCCAATAAGAACTCTTCTGAATACATGAATACGAGAGGCATTCCTTCCTAAATTAGTTTACCTGTTTTCAGTTCCGTAATGATCTTCCTTGTAAATTTTCAAAAGAAAAACGAAATTACGCGAAATTGCCAAGAAGCATTATGGATAGTTTTCCTGTAAGGGATTTTTCTTCGGGGGGGGGGATTAACTTTGAGTTAAATAAGGCGAAGTCCCTCCGGAATANCTTGCCAATCAATACTTATTTGCCTTATTCAAATTTAAAATTTTATTGTTTCACTTACTTCAATTACAGCTTGAGTATTTGTTCTAAAATTGAAATCACCAAAGAGAAAAAATGGAACGGATCCGTGGTTGTCACTTTGAAACCTATAAAATAAAAAAAATATTTGCTTTGAATTTTGAAAAAACAACAGGGAAGATTCGAAATCTACACATTAATAACAAATAAAGATTCCTGAGGAGAAAGGGTAAACCGATTGAGCATAATTTTAACACCTTAAAATGAAATGGAGTTAATTGACATTTGAAGCTTTCCAAGTGTGTGATGGAAAATTTGTTTCTCATTATTTTTCTGAAGTTTCAACAACAACACAATGGGCCGTTGTTGCGTTTTTTTTAAAAAAAATTTTATTTAATCATTTCCATTGTTTTTCTTCAAAATTTTGGCTCACACTCAGCAATTTTTCAGCTTGACCTTGAACGCTCGCAAAGATGTGAGTCAAAGTTGAATAATCAATGGTTGGTTGATCAGCAGAAAACAGAAAAGCGCTGTAAAATCGGTATTTGTGAATATAAGAGAATAAGAATGATAATTACCTGTCTAAAGTGTATTCCAAAGCTCTTTGTCTTGTGACAGAATATATGGAGGGTGACTGGAATAAAAAACAATCAGAGATAAAAGATATGGTAGCTGTAGAGGGCATTGTGGGCTTGGAATTATGGATTACTCGGGAGTATGCCCTCTGAGTGCTCCTATTTGCACTGCAATATCACACTTTCATTTACTTTAGAATGATAAGAAACAATCAAAAGAAGGAATTCAAATTATTCTGTAATTAATATCTATGTACTCTTTAAAGTGGTAACATGCTCATTTTGATTTGAGCAGTATAAAATAATCACTAATTAGTGATACTTAACTTAAAACGGAAACTGCTTGAAAGAATAGATACAGGAACAAAAGACAGAGACCTGCACCCACACCCATTTTCCGCATTCTCTCAACATATATGTAGCAGAGGCACTCTAATGCATTATTTTTCATTAGAGATGTACAACATTTTTCAGCCGTTTCGTGAGTTGCTGGAAATATTGATGACCCTTAAAAGTCCCTTCAAGAAAGCAGTATTAAACTCAGTAGCCCCATAACAGTTTTATTTTCAGTAAATACTCTAACAGTTTTCTAATTTTTAAGTTGTTTCTTAAACGAATATTCAGTATAAATCAAATGCATCAGTCATTATAACTGAAAAATTGAGCTCGGTTAAAAATCAGCAGAAGAATCTTTTAGAAAATACTTACCGTTTCCATTGCAATGAAATTTGATGCATCATGGAAGAGGTGGATATTAACTAAATCGAATACTGAGCCATTTAAGTTCCAGCGTGTTCGTAAAAATCCTTTTCTAGACCATTTGCACTATAGAAAAAGGATCACAACAAGGAAATTAGAGTAAAATATTCAAACTAAAATTTTCTGCAGAGATAATGAAACCTGAAAAATTTTTGTGAGTCGTGCGAATTGAAACACAATTCTGTGACCAGCGCAACCGACCCATTGATCACTGGACACTCTTTTCATACAATATTCCTTTTTAGAGATGACAGGTTTTAAAGAGCACCTCTGATTGACTATACTTCCATTCATTATGCTATACTTCATTATGGCAGATATCTAAGTATGAAGCACTGCGATTCTGACAATAGGTAAATACATCAAGTTAAAAAGGGCATGAACGCAATTGTAGACCTATGATTAATGCAAATGAAATTTATATTCTTACCTCTGGAAAGAGATCTTGTGGAAATTTCGATTTTTCTTTAATTGGTACATCTTCTATACTGCCAGAGTAAACTTCTTTCCCAAAAACAGTACAGAAGTTCATTTCTGAAAATAGAAAAACATTACATTAAAAACTAAAAATAACAGTGGGCTAGATGCCTTGGTCACAAAGTGGCATTTTGATGGATTAAGCTTATAGAGTAGCGAAAAATAAAAAGATCTATACTAATGCCCAGTTACTATACCCAATATTGACAGAAATATCGCCCTTTGATAAACAGGGTGTATGATGTTATTCACCATGGTCAAGAGTACACACCATTGTTTCCTTAACCTTTGATTCATCAATTAGTGATACAAACATTTGCATTGGTTACTCAATTGAAAAACAAAAGAAATCATGGTATTCACAACCACCATGGATGACGTCACACACCGTGTTTTTTGAGAGACAGTTTCTCTATTAGTACCGGACATGAAAACTTGATGCTAAGACTGATCTTATTACTTTGTGCTGATACATGATCTGAAATAATCAAAATACGATTCTGTAGCCAGCGCAACTGAGTTTTATAAAATAGCAACTTTAATGGACAAAGTGACACCAAATTCTAAATTTTAAAGCAGTTTGCTAAAGCATTCAAATTCAATGAAAGAATGGAGAGAAAACTCACCTTTAAAGTCCCAAATGAGCAAATCTTCTATGGATTCATGAATGAAATAAAAATTCCCCAGGGCCTAAACAAGAGAGAGAAAAATATGTAAGTTCAGACCATTTAATGCAGCTTATATTATTTAAGGGCAGCAAACAAACATACATTTCAAGAGCTAAGTAACAATACCGCCTGACTGACAATTTTGGCGAAAATGAGTTAGCCGCTTTACCGCATTCTTCAGTATTAAATAAGCACGCTGATGTTTTTGGTTTTTTCCAATTTTGCACATGAGCGCAGAAAATATGCTGTAAATAATTGAAGAAATTGCAAATCTGACCACAGAATTACACAAATGGAGAAGTTTCTCCTTTGTCCTGCAAAATTGTCGATTTACAAATAAACAGTATTGTTTCTTAGCCATTGATTTGTACCTTTATAAATGCAAAGAAGAAATTGACTTGGGTGTTTGTGATGATTTTCAATTCTGAAGTTACATTATTCACTTAGCTTGAAATTAGAAAAATTACCTGGGTTTTACAGAACAATATTTTTTACTTTTTGATTATTCTTTCAGTAAACACATCAGTCAATATAACTTATTTTTACTATAATAAATGTAAAATTCTTACTAACTATTAAATTGATATTAATCTATCTAATGACACTGTTATTTTGATAAAAAATTCAAGTTAGTTTGGCTGACAGACTCTTTGAAATTTGATGATAATTATCAACAAACCAGTAGGTTGTTATTGGATATTCACACTCACTACAGTGATAAACTATTTTCCCCTCTGTTTAAGCATACCCACTGTCTTCCCTGCTTTCCCTTAAATACGTCATTTCCGGCATCTGATGACTTGAATGGAATCAAAAAATTACATATTATGTAAAATATCATAAAATGTCCAAAAAGAGGGATTCATAAAATATTTGAGCTCAATGTACCCCTCCCCATTCCCTTAAAAAATTGTTAATTCTTGTAATTTGTCCAATTTTTGGGCTGACCTTGATAATCAAGTGGAATTTGCCTAAACAACGAAATTACAACGCATAGATGAGCCTCTAGTGGCTGCGGTTTATGATGTAAGCCTAAGTGTCAAAAAACCATGCGTCTTCGTCCGTGGATATCAACAGTGAGAAAGCCCTCCAAAAACACTTAGTTACTCATCATTTAAATACAAAGATGCTATGGTGTTTTCTGCTTTATTCTCAATAATCATTAATACACACAATCTGTTAAGAGTGCAATCAATCTACTTTCAAGCAACAAAAATTGTGTTACGCTTCAAACAATGTGAACACAAAAATAGTTGCAGAAAATTTTTTTTGTCATAAAATATTATCGGATATGGATTGAAATTTTAAAATTAATGAACTGCAAAACAATTTTTCTAGGTTTGACACTAAGTAATAGCTTTCCATTAAAATAGGTCAGACATAACTTCTCACACTTATTACCCATCATACTTGCAAAATAGTAGATGCAAGCTGCAGTAATCTGCTTTCAAAGGAAAATGAAGGGGTTGCTTAGAAAGCAAATCAAAACATCAACTTATGCTTACCGTGAAATTTTCAGCTTTAGAGAAATCTTCATCTAAGAAAACTCTAACTTTGTCAAACAATCTGAGCTCTTCACTATCTATTAGTAACCTGAGAAAAATGAAAATCAAAGATCACCCGCTTAATAAATAGACAAGGGTTCTAATATAAAATGAAATCCATTTGAGACCATTTTTTTCTTAAAAGTTCATTATCTTAATGAAGCAATACTGATATTAAATAATAAATAGTCATTACGCGTAAACAAACATTTAGGGACAAATGGTGGCAATAGACCTCAAAAAACCACTTAGAATAAAAAATTAAGATGAGAAGAAATGCTGCATTTAAAAAAAAACAAGAGCTGCCTCACACATCAACAAAATAAAGAAAGTTGGTAAGTAGAAGACATCATTAAGCATACTGGATTTGGATTTTTTTAAACCAATAGTTAAAATTACTTACTTAGTGCTTGGTTAAATACAGGGTGATCCAAAAGTCCCTTCCACCCCCTCTAACTTTTTACCTAATTGAGGTAAAGATTTGAAACTTGGGGGATGTTCCTAGGTCAAAGGGAGCTACTTTTTGGCCCCCCTAAAATTTTCAGGGGGGCCCCTCTTGGGGGGGCAATGGACCCCAACTTTTAATTTTCAAATGGGAAGACCCCCTTTGTGATAGCTCGTTCGAAAGACCATAAAAAAAGAAAACTTTTTGCGCAAACCCGAAGTCAATATCTCAAACCGTTCCAAAATGGCGGCCGGTTAAAGTTCAAAATGGCCGAAAATTCACACCCGTTATTTGTCGATGGATTTGCGCAAAAATCGGTATGTAGGGGTATTTTGACACGAGAAAAACGAATTTAACGTTAGATTTTCAAAAAACCGAAATTTCCAAAATGGCCGCCGGTTAAAGTTCAAAATGACCGAAAATTGTCACCTCGGTTTTTTGCTGATAGATTTGCCTAAAACTTGGAATTTGAGAGTATTTTGGCATTAGATAAACACATTTGAACTTAGATTTCTAAAAAAAAAACCTATTTTTGGTCATTTTGAACTTTAACCGGCGGCCATTTTGGAAATTTCGGTTTTTTTGAAAATCTAACGTTAAATTCGTTTTTCTCGTGTCAAAATACCCCTACATACCGATTTTTGCGCAAATCCATCGACAAATAACCGGTGTGAATTTTCGGCCATTTTGAACTTTAACCGGCCGCCATTTTGGAACGGTTTGAGATATTGACTTCGGGTTTGCGCGAAAAGTTTTCTTTTTTTATGGTCTTTCGAACGAGCTATCACAAAGGGGGTCTTCCCATTTGAAAATTAAAAGTTGGGGTCCATTGCCCCCCCAAGGGGGGCCCCCCTGAAAATTTTAGGGGGGCCAAAAAGTAGCTCCCTTTGACCTAGGAACATCCCCCAAGTTTCAAATCTTTACCTCAATTAGGTAAAAAGTTAGAGGGGGTGGAAGGGACTTTTGGATCACCCTGTATATGAAAATAATATGTAAAATAATTTTGGGATTTTTAGTTTTTCAGCAAGAATTTGAGCAATGTGGCAAAATTTTAGCAAGAATTTGGCGGTTTTCAGCGAGAATTTTAGGATTTTTAGCCAAAATTTGGGTCATTATAAATCACCAGAAAATGGGGTCTCTATTTTAATCGCCCAATACTTGGCGACCCACTCCTACAAAATAACTCATCTTCCACTCAATTATTATCCAATTGAATTCATAATGTTATAATGTTAGAGGAGGGTATCAGAAATATGTAATAAAATGGGTTTATGCAAAAAGGGCACTTCCTCGGATATGCTCTTTCTGCACCCAATGCCTCAAATTAAGGTGCTAAAAAACTGAAATGTCTTTTAGGAGACTCAGATTAAAGTCAAACAAGCCAGACTGAATGATGATTTGAATTTCCTCCCTGGATATTTACAAAAGCTGTTCTCACTTGACAAATTCTTCCACCGGCTGCGTGCAGTGTTCATAATTTTTCCCTCCAACCTCCTGACAGTGAAGCGCAATAAACTTAGGATTTAACTTTGAAACAGTCTGAAAAATATAAGCACACAAATTAAGACCCTTAAAGTAAGAAAACTTTAAAAACAAAGTCAAAACTGAAGAATAAACCTACAACATACTCCTTTTTCTAATAAGTAAAATTGTGATTAATTTTTAGTAAATAAATTATCTTGTTACATTTTAAAAGAGTCCTTAAAGTGAGACAATATTGTGATAGTGAGAGATATTAAACTCCAGTTGAACAAAATTTTATGATCAAGAAGCAAATGGGGGAGATGGAGAATTGTTGCCTAGGTGCTACGGGTGGAAAGAATTTGGTTTGTAGGATAGGCATGATAGGACAGTAGGAATGGTAGGTAGGAACTGAATGGGATTAGCCCTTGAGGGTCATTTAAAGCCCCCCTAGTTTCTTTTTTGATATGAAATTGATGGAAAACATTCATTAAGTTCCAGTTTGACTTTCTTAAGACTGTTCTTGTTCATCAACCATAAAGCTAAATTAACCTCTATAAAACAGTAATAATCCATCAGATTCTGAGGGACGATGGCTTGAGTTTGGTAACATTTTTTACACGTCTTTTGGATACACTTATAAGTGACTTTTTACAATAGTTTGTGCTACCTGGGGAACCTCTATGATCTCCAAATTGTGCTTCGAGAAAAGCCTCGAGTCAATATAAGCTTATAATTACAGGCTAAAAGAGGTACTTAACTTACCGAGAGAAACTCTTCAGTCCAAATTTTCAGCATAACAGTTGGCTATTGGAGCACAAAGAAAAAAAAAACACATTAGAAAAATCAATTTTGACCGACTAAAGTACAAAAACTAGGTGAAATAAAAGATCTAGGTAATACCTGAAGGGACAAAAATATGAATTAATTCTTGAATGGGGATGTATAGTGGATTTACAAAATTAGAGGGATAAAAGACAAAAAAAAAAATAATAAAAAATAAGAACATTGAAAAAGCATTTGGGAAATCTGAGGATGCTTAAAATATAGCAGTACAATTGAGTAAGGTGATTCCTATTTATAAGTAGACAAACATTAAGGTATCAAACTGACTGGAGTAAAATACTGCGTACCTCTTGCGCTTTTTACAATTGATGGGGAGAAACAGTGTTGAAGTTACTTGCAAGTTTCAATTTGTAAAAAGTTCAGGTGAACCCTTTAAATTTAGACAAAATTCTGCTGAGCACATGGTTTTCTTTCAATTAGTTAAATCCAGTAGTAATGATGCGTTTGGATACTTTGTGGTTACAAAATAAATTCTTCAGAAACAGACAGTTGGAATTAGCTTTGACACTGACCTCTGTATTTTGCAACAAGTCAAAAGGTGAACCAGTACTTTACAAAAACCAGTTTGAAAACTCAATGCTCATTCACTTCAAATGAAGAATCATCGAAATACTGTACCTGGTGTCTGGGTTAAACTCAAAATACACTGCACCTTGGTCAAATATTTAATCAGTACGTCTTTTCCCTACATCAGAAAGTCATATGACCAGATACCTGTATGAGAGGTAGCAGAACTTGCAGCAGATAAAAAGACCGCCGCTAAGTATTGACTGTCATGTGCAGCGGACAATTTGACACATTTGCGCAAAGAAACGGCATTGCCTCCAGTCAGTCCATGAACTCAACTGCAAAATCACAGTGCCATTGCCTACGAATCGGAGGTGAAGTAAGTACTGCCAACATATTTGCTGCAAGTTCTAAATATGATTCAAATTGCTGACATGTGTTCAGTCCCTACTAGTATGAAAAATGTAGAGACATTATTTTGATGATGTAATGATTGGTACTTTGCAAAATTTCAATGGAGCAGCACCTCAAAATTGAAAATTCCCCAACTTTTGTTTGTGCAATCTCAGATTGAGTGGGTGTTTAACCACTACATAAGAACTAAAATACTACATAGAGATACTTACAACGAGAAGTAAATTCGGGTTCAAGAGACCATTACAGAGTTTAAAAGCAGATCAAAAGTTACCAAGTTACAGTGTAAATACTCTGTGTAGTGCAGTCATAATCTAGCCACATTACGTACTTTGGCTGATCGTACGATAAACGAATTTGTATCTAAATGAAAAGTTGTTCGAAAGAACTTAGATTTACTTAGCAGACAATCAGACAGTACCTTAGGAAGTTCACCTTCCTATGGGCCAATTGTTAAAACTATTCTTTGCTGTGTTTGCAAGATAGAACATGACAAAGCCCTATTTAAGCCGTGTAATAAATTGATTTTTGATGTCATGCTGAGATAGGATCCACAATCAGCCCACTATTACAGATGTGTTAATTTGGTTAACCTCTATTGAATCGTCGGTAACGAGGATTAGGAATGAAGTAGATGTCAACTTACATTTTCAAATATTGAACCAACGTTCGCAGTGATGAACATGACAGGTGTATTACTATCCATTCTTGATTGACTAGACGAACAAATTACAGGTAAACATAGAAAAAGAACTGGGGATGCGAATACTTTTAGACGACAGGGAGTGAATTAAAAGAAGCTGTCATTGCGAGGAACAAATCTAATGCTGTAAAAAGTATTCTGGGCCGGATCTTTGCCATGCAAATTATGCAGGCAATTATTCCAGAGCTGTAGAGGGTACATCAGCGATGAGATGTTCCAAGTGAAACACAATTACAGGGATAGGGCAAGGGACAGCAGCCACAACAGCGAATGTCAACATTCGAAGTGTCAGTTGTCAGTTCGCTCCATGGTTATCACTTCATTACTAAGGTTCCAATATGTGTTTGTGTGTGTAAGCTGTTCCGTGAGTGTAGCTGTGGAGAGTGAATATGGTGAATATGTTTGTGTGCACTGTGCGGGCTGCGCGAATCTTACAGCTTTCAAAACAATGTTGCCAACTTCTCAAAATATATCTGAATTTCACTTAAGACAGAAAGTGAGTTGCGACGCAGCTCAAACGATATACAGTCTTCTGGTGTTAAAAATTTTTCAAACTTGTTTACTTGTTATGCTTATTTCTTGCTATCTTTGTCGCGGCAACGGCGCAAAACAATATTTCACTAAACATTGAAACCAAAAATGTACTTCTCCTTGATTCACTTGGCTACATCGCACACAATTAACCACTCCCACTGTCAACTGACGTCAATACCTCAGCCTCAGCGAGACTTTGAAGTTTGGACTGCTATTCTAACAGAGAAATTCAAATTATTCTCATTGCGTGTGCTGTGAGACCGTTGCATATCTCATCTTGCTCACTCGTCGGCCTATATGCCGTTCAGATCCACCCTTCTACACGGCAGGGCATCTTATTTTGCTGTCGCGTTATTTTTCAACAAGGAGACACAACTAGAATTTGTGAACATAGGTACATTGAAAGCACATTTTATTGACTCGAATTTTCCTGTCTCAGTCGATACTCATGGTCGATAGAACGCCTTCTAGAAGGGAGAGACAGAGCTGTCAGCGAGTTCGAGCTGATTGGTTGAGCAAAAAGTAATTATACCTAATCGGCTTGAAGGAAGCAGATACGCTCAATTTGGATAAATAACAGACGCGAACGCCGCGCCGTGAATACCTTCTGCGATGGACAAGAATCCAAAAAAGTCTCAGCAATTCTGACGGCTGCATCCACATACCTACATGTGTCCGAGTAGATCTTCTTTTTTGGGCATTCGCTTAATCCATGCCACATTCAAGCTGTGAATTTAATTAGCTACTTCCGAAGGTGAAGCGTAAGTTGTTCGGGCAGTGTTTCGGAAAAGCATTTTAAAAAACGCGATGCCGTGGAGATTCAATCGCGCGTGGGGGCTGGGGCTGGGGTGGGGCGCCGAACGAAATCATCACCAAAAACATTCCTTGTAAAGATGAATCGCCAAACTAACATTCGTCGCCCTAAATGCAGCGATATCCCTTAAAATAGACGCCAAGTAAATTTCATTAATATTAACTTAAAGTATCTCCTCCCTTTAACATTATTATTGGGAAAACACAAAACAGACAAAAAAAAAGATTTTTATAAAAAACTCGATACAAATTTATCAGTTTTTCTGTAGTGCAATGGCACATAAAAACTGATTTTTAAAATTATTTATTTGGTCTATATTTTGCGCTTCACCGGTAGGTAATAATTTTAAAGGGAGGAGAAACTTTAACTTAATATTAATGAAATCAATATTAATAAAATATCTTGATACTAATAAAACACATTCGAAAAAATGTTTCTAATGTGTTCCATCATTACATATTTTCATATTCTGTTACAATAAATGATGTTGGCAACAGAAATTGTTCTTGCGCGTAACTCGCACCAGACGCGTCAATTCAAACTTCGCGCCACTCAAGTTCCCACCAGTACTAAAGGGACTCTAACCAACCAGTACGAGCAGTACAAGTATTTCTGAAAATATCATCTTGCTGCGCATTGCGCATGCTTAAATGTTTTTCATTTTATTAGTATGTTTTATTTTGAATTGCTTTGTTTTTCTTTTGCATTTTGCATATGCAAGGAACAAAAATTCAGGAGCGAAAATTTGCAGAGATCAGCTGTGGCGGTGTGATTTGTTTGCGGAAAAAGTTTAAGTGATTTATTGTTCGCAGTCACACATGTACTAAATACAGTTTGGATCTACCCATTCTCTTCCTGAGTCAAGGAGAGCATGGCAACATTTGTGGTCTAATTTCAGTTTGAGTTTTCTTCAGTCTTCACTTCTTCAGTGGAGAAGTGGCTTCGGCAAACGGCAGACGTTCGAAACTTGTTCCTCCGTAGGATCGGTCGTGTTTACGATTAACAATCTCCGCTCGGCACTCGGCTTGTTTTTTCCAGTTTCTCATGAAACATGGGCTTGTAAATATTTTCGCTGTGGCAACAGTCATGCGGATCTCTGTGTGTTCCCTTTAATGCTTCAATTAGATTCTGAATGAGTTAAGTACAATGCTGCCGTTCAGTAAGTTTGTCATTGTCTCTGCTGTGGTCTTCATTGCGTACATTGCTGGGCTGTATCGGTTTCTCACTCATTTTGATGAAAACAAATGCGGCATGACCTACATGTATGGATACCCAACGTTTGTTGTAAGTACCTTTTGCTCTGACATTTGCATGATTTTTCAATAGCAGTGCTGCGCTGTAATTCATTTCATAAGATTCATTTTAATGAATGGCACGAGGCAAAACATTTTCCCCAACCAGAATGCCTGCTCTAGCTTTGAGCAAAGATTTTGTAACAATGTTAATCTTGCTTCTTATTACTCAAGGAGAGAAGAAGTTATCACCATACTAAAACCGTATATGTTGCTAAACTCACCTATAAGCTCTACTCTTTTACCCTGCAACACCACTCGCCAGTCTCCTCACCAGACCTTTAACCTAGAGAGCTTAAAGACTTGGGGAGCAGACTGGTGAGTGACATCGCTGGTGAATGGTGGTGAGGTCACCAGCAAGTTGAGAATCGCGTGTCAAGTATACTTGCTCAATTTGATTTTTCACATAGAATCAGCATACATTTTTGACCCATCAGAAGAGTTATGAAGAGTTAGCCCTAATTTCTGCACCTACTTGTTTTCTTTTCAAGCTACAATTTTATTATTTACCTGCATGAGGATTTAAAAACAACTTTTTAGCCATTAATTGATTTCAGTTCACAGATTCTCTGTGATCCGTTCTGTGTCACATTCCCAGATCCGCTGTAATATGAGCCCAAGATCTGTTGGGCACTTGGGTTTCCACATTTATTTTGAGTGCTGTTTTGTTAGCTGTCATCTCTTGAATTACTTTTTTGATAAAAAAACTGCCTCCTCTTTTGATTAAGTACTAGAGGACAGTTCTCATCCTCAAATGACAATTCTTGAATATCCCAAATTACCCGAAAACTTCGTTTTTTCTGTATTAAAATTAAAAAGCAGGGAGTTTGCCAAATCTTAAATAAAAATTTAGAGCTTTCTAATTTGCACTGATCTTTGGTGCTGCAAAGTTTTCTTAAAGTCTCTCAATAGAGGAAACAACAAGAAAGGCCTTTATATAATATCAGGCAAACTTTTGCCAGTGTATTTGGCCCATTTTTTTTGACCAGACTGGCAGGGTTGCAAACCAAAGGAGGAAATTGCCCTGCTGAAATCAAGAACTAAGTTCAGTTGCCCAATGAGTTTTGGCCAAGGTTTGCATCAATGGAGGGTTGACCGCACGTTGTGGGTAGAGAATTTTGGATGTGGTTGTCATTGTTGCCAATCTGAAAACCAAATGTTGTAAGTAGGCACACCATGGGCTGGAAGGAATTTCATTTTTTCGCGAAGAAGGTTGGCAGTAAACTGTAAACTTCAACCAAATTCATCTGCAAAAATTCGCCCATTATCATTGATTTCTCATCATGTGATGAGGAGTATTCTCAAAAAATTTCAAGCAATATCGCTGAATGGTTCATCTTCAAGGCTGCAGCAAAAGCAGTTCAAGGGAGACCTTTTTCTTAGTCAACAGCCATTGCTCAACATCCAGATTGGTATCCAATCCATTTGAGTAGTTCCAAAAAACTTAGGATTGCTGAGTTCAGGTCCCAGTGGCGTAGACAAAGGGGGGGGGAAGGTTTCCAGGGGCCTGGACCCCCCTCCCCCGCCCTTAGCCTCGTTTATTGTACCTTTGTTTTGACTTTTGGAGGGCAGACATAAAAAATTATCAGAGACGCACACAAAATGATGTAAATGAACCCCCCCCCCCCCCTTTAAAGAATTCCTAGCTACGCCACTATCCGGTCCTAATCAAATCGCACGCGCAACATTCAGGATGACCTTAACATGTAAGCCACATTCAGCTTCCATATCCAACGAGTGATTCCGGTCCCAGACTTTGACTGAGTAAGACAGCTGAGTACCACTAGACTTCACATACTCTTCAAAGAATAGATGCGTTTCAAGAGTACCTACCTGTCACGTCCCACGTGCAAGAAAAAATTCCTTGCTACTTACTATCAGGGATCCTTAAAATTTGGCAATACTGTATTCACGGATTCCGGTGTGGAAAACCAGGAAATTCAGAGAAATTGCGGGGAAAGCGTGGGACTATCGCAAGTAGCACACTGGCACTGGCCTAGCAACTTCAACCGATATGACTTTGAGAGATGGAGCTTGAATTAATTTTCTAGAGATTTTTTCCATGATACGAATTTCTAGAATAGGAAGGTACGATCGTCCGAAATTCAGCAAAAGGCAGCGCATGATTAAAAGAAAAATCATCGTGGGAGTCTTACTCAGAGGTCAGGGAAAGTCAGAAAAGTTCGCAATTTTTTTTCTTTTGATCTTTATTGTAGTAAATTATTCCTATACTTAATGTGCTTTTGCTATACCCATCTTTCATTCATTGACATGGAGNGGGGGGGGGGGGGGGGATTTGCTGTGAGCATGGATGGTAATTAGACAGATTCAACCAGAATGAGCATAACTGCTCGTGACCTTGACAGAGAAGTGAACTGCTTTCAGCTCTCAGAATGTCTAAATTTAAGATTATGAAGGAAATCTTCACACAATTTCACGTTTTAGTGTCAGGCACTTAGTTTTCTGTCAGGGAAAAAAATGACAATACTTCCGCTCTCTACCCTAGGGGACTTAGAAAGTAAAAAACATCCGAGGGAATCAGGTATAACTTTTGATGTAGTTAGGTTGATTCCCGTTGAATTGTTCTAATTGACCCTGGCGAAGACCCTGCTGGGTCGAGTTTTCCGAAGTTGGGCCAAACAAATGGAGCATGGAGCTTGAAACGTGAAGAGTCCGACAACGGCGCTTCATTCCCGAGCGAGACCCACAGAGGAACCTCCACGTCAGATATTATTTTCCGGCCGAGGTTGGGCGTTGGGGAGGATGCGGTCCGATGCCAAGATCAAGATCGAGTTCAAGCCCAGAGAACGGGGACGTAAAAGTAAAAGCTCAAGTCTGGCTGAAGTATACTTCTTTGAGTCATAGTTCGGCATAAAACGTACGTTCTCGTACAAAGTACACCTTGCATAGCCAGTGCATGGTGTGCTAGGTAGTCTAGGGGCCACCAAGTCACTTTCGCGTGCCTCTCTGAAACTTTCAGGGTCCCTTCTAGGGTCCCTGGGACACCTTTCTCCAGCAATCAAAATGTCAGTAACCTGAGACAGCATATTGAAAGTGGCCGCCATGTCCAAAATCAGAGGGTTCGGTGCGCTCAAAAATCCACGATTTACCAAACAAATTTCACAGCTAGACACGCAAAATTGTCGAAGGACCAAAAACGTTCTACACAATATTTTACACAAGACTTTATCAAGTTTGGACCTCTGAGCACCTTAATTTTGAGAAAAATCCACTTTTTTCAAAAAATTTTGAAAAATTTACATGAGCGTCGCTATAACCCATTAACCCCAGTGACTCTAGTGCTTCAACTGAGTGCCAAAACACTCTTTTCATACCTTCTACTTACATAACATAATCTGTCAAGTACAAACCTGTAAAGCTTTGCCGCTCCCCTGACATGCCACTATAGTAGGGCCCACGAACGATGATCCCTGAAAAATCGGGCGAATAAACGCACGGACCATGTAAATGACAACGCTGCAAGGCCGAGCACGCACATCGACGAGACCGGGTATTGTGAACGCGAAAAGCTATTGTATTCGAACTGCTGCTATTCTACCCCTATCTTCAGGTCAAAATTCTTCATAGGAAGCCCTTTCGTAAAATATCAATTTTTTTTTTACTTTTGCCCCAATATCTTCGTCCATTACATGGTTGGATTGCTCGTGAAATTCTGAGCTAAATCATATATAATTGTAGTATACAATTTTTATTTTTTCCTTCTTTTTCCTTTTTGAAGCGAAGTCCAATCCTCCTCCCTCCTAATGTATATCCTCCTAATATATATTTTAATATATAATTCCGTAAGCCCGATTTCTGTTTCGAAATTGCGCCGCGACCGTCGTGCCGATCCGGGCGTCGTAGGTGCCGGCGCGCGGCGGGACCGTCCCGGTCCCGCGGGGTCTGGAAAAATACGGGGATCGCGCGTCGGGCCCCGCGCCCCTCGCGCCCTCCGAAAGATAGCTTATCCCGTTCGTCCCGCTGGGAGATGCGCGGTTTTTCGTTTTCCCCGTGCTGTACGTTCTCGGTCAGCTGATGACTCGGCTGCCCGAGGCGTTCGTCGTCATGGATATTCGTCGTTTATGAAGAATTCCGATATTTTCGTACAGCGCGCGTCGTCTTTTGAATTTTGTTAATATTTGTCGTGTATGAAGAATCCCGAATTTTTAGCAAAGTGCGCGTATTCGTTTTAATATTGGGAATGGATCGGAGTCGAAAACGTGGGCGTCCGACGAAGCGTGGCAATGTTTCTCGCAATTTATCCGCGCGACGCAAAGTGCGGCATGATGGCTATCTCAGTGAGATGGATAATGTACGACGTAGGGGTGAACAGGGAAATAACCTCAATCTATTTCGGCAGAGCACTAATAATTTTATCGAAAATGATTATCATCACCATATATAATTCCGTAAGCCTTTTCTTTGCGTCAAAATTCAGCGCGAACCGCCGGGCCGATCCGTGCGCGGGTGGTACCGGCTCGACCGTCCCGGTCCCCCGACGGCGGTAAAAATATAGGGATCGGCCGGCGTGCCCGGCCCCCCTCGCCCCTCGGGAAAAACGGTTGTCCCGTTGGTCCCGTCAGGAGATGCGCGGTTTTTCTTTTTTCCCGTCCTATTTTTCTTCGGTCTGATGACACGGCTGCCCGGTTCGTTCGTTTCCCTGGAAATGGCCGTGGATGATGCATTTACTACGGAAGCGTAGTGCACCCGTCGACCGTCGCGCGTCGCTGTCTCGCACTTTTTTTGTCTTCAGTCATGGAGAATCCGTGTTCAAATCGTGGGCGTCCTGCGAGGCATTGACATGTTTTTCGTAACCCCTCCTTGCGGCGCATCGAGCGGCGTGGCGAAATGCGACTGGGGCGTGATTTACCGTATTCGTTTCGACGGAGCATTTAAGATGTTAATGAAAGAGATTCCTATAAATTTAATATATTGAGATATATTAATACTGAAGCTTAATATTAAAGAGATGAACCACGGGAAGTTTGAAACACCGCAATGGAGATACGTGGTTTCGCACTTCAGTCGGTGCGATACGGACATCCATCAAGTTTAAAAAAATGCATCAAGTCCGCGTCACCGCCGACCAACGCGTTTGTCGATTGAACCAACTACAAGTATTATGCGTAGGAGGTCAAAACGCCTTCAATTTTTTGAACGCAATACGGACATCCGTCGAGGTTGTATAGTTGTATCAAGGCGCCGTAGCGAACGCGTCCCATTGTTTATCGTTACAGACGAATATAAGTTGAGAGAGGCCAGTCATAATGCCTTCAATTTTATACGTACATATTTTTGGGCAAAATGAGGGACGATGGTTTCTCCTCAAGGCGGATAAAGAATGGTGATCGCATTTCGTACCCTCTGGACGTCACACGGTATCGGGTACATCGGGTGCATGGGCTGGCCGAGGCCGGGGGGGGCCGACTCAACCTGGGATTGCACGGCATAACCCGTACCCTCCTGACGTCACAACGCTTCAAGATGGCAGCCAAAATCGAAATGCGACCACCATTCTTTATCCGCCTTGGTTTCTCCTTTTGCGACGTTGCAGACTTCCTTTGAAATTTTATTTTTCTTTCAAGAAACTGGTCAACATAAAACTTAAATTATCCATGATTTTTCGTATTCGATAGCAGAAGATTTGGTCCAAAATTATATGAGCTTTGGAAGCAGATAGAGATGTAAAAGCCATACAACTGTTGTACCTCAATATGTTGGTCATGAAAATGGTTTTGGAGAAGATGTCGCGAAGTTGGTCATTGATTCCAGGCTCGGCAAGTTTGAGAAGACCACTATTACAACATCTGTTAAAATGGCCGTTCACCTCCTTTTTTTTGAAATGCAAGGCATCGCAATACTGGCACTTCACATTTAAAAGTCCGAAATTATTTTCCGGAATAATTTAATTTTTCCAGATTATAAATTTAAATTGTTACTAAATGATGATAAAATCAAAATTCCAATTTCAATTTCCAAAATTTCAGAGCATGTTATATCTTTCAAAATTTATTGTCAATTCAAGTTGCTATTCAATTATAATTAAAAACTTGAACGTTTTTAATGGGTTTTCATGGGGAAGTGCTGATTTTTTCAGCACTATCCGGCAACAATGCATCCGGCGATGCCATAAAAATACTGCTCGACTCTCCTTCATTTTAAAATGATACTTCTCGCTTTGTTCCGGGGTTAACTTAGATGCCTAATCCACCCGAGCTCATCTCATGGCAGCCAACAGACCTTCATTTCGTCGTTCCGCAGTTGAAGGAACGTAACTGAATTTCAAGGATGCAAAAGTGACATAGCCAATTCAATGTTTTGTAAGAATATTACTGCGCAATTTGTGTCCAAAATCGAGTTGTTTTTTACGTGAAATCAGAGAAAATATTGTATTTTGGCAGCCTTGTTGTGATGGCGCCGCCCCTCATGCCGCATGTGCGTTCGTAACCCTTGATCCTGCTCTGCATTACCCTTTGAAAAAATATAAAACGCGCCAACATCAAATGGACTCATTCTCCTACTACGAACTGAAATTTCTGGCTCATCTGTAGAAACACTCATGTTCATAGGAAAAAAGATAGTACATGCGTTGTTTCTAAATTGAGCCAGAAATTATCTATACTATAAGCTCCAAGACCTCCTAATTTTGCGAAACTGGTGACGCTTAGTTCCAGCGTTCTACCGGGCCGATTTTCATGATTTTTGCGGCTATCGACGGGCAATTGCCTCTAGATAAGCCAACTCTTTTCAGATTTTCAAAATATGGCCCAGGTTTTTTTATATTACGTGGTAAAGTTGCGAATTCTCCCATTTAAACAATGTAAATTTATACTTTTTGTCATAGTTCGTTTGAGCGTTCTACCGGGCCGATTTCCATGATTTTTGCGTAAATCGACAGGTAATAGGCCCTAGATGAGCCCGCTGCAATCAGATTTTGGAAAAAGGACCCAGGTTTTCTTAAAATCACGTTATAAAAGTGAGTGAGTTTACAGAATGCTCCGGTACTGCTACCGCTATGCGCGGGAGGATGCGCAATGGTCGAGGAGGTTGCGCAGTAGCTGGGTAGCCTGCGCCATGGACCAATAGAATAAATAAGGACTCCCAACTCCCTATGCTACCCTGTGTTAAAAACCGTTAACGCGCGCTCGCAGCGAACCTGGCAGAGGGTGCGGTGAACTAACGCCGCAGCGGTCCACGATCGTACCTCTATAGTATGTTATTCCATGCAATGTTCTTTGTTTATCTATGATTTATTTATTTGTGTAGATACTTTAATACATTTTACTTTCTCAAACTAATGAAATTGTATAGATACATACCTTCTGCAGAGGTCAATGTGAAAGACTTTGATTTGAAGTATCTTATCAAAACACGAGCAAAGATGATTCAGTCAACTTCTGACGCAGAATCAAAGAGACTTGCTAATAATCAAATTAAAGGTAATGCTTGAAGTCAAGTATCTTTGATTTTGTGACACTCAGTTGATTTTTATCAGTACAACACTATTTCTCACTAAAAAGATTTCACTTAACAGAGAGGCGCCTTCGGCTAAAAGTACAATCCTGATTCCTGCTGCACACTTCATACACACTTCCTTTGGCTTTCTTAACAGCAGTTGCTGCTGAGTAAAACGGTTAGAAATAACACTTCACATTAATACCAGTTTATGTACACGAAGACTGACGAAGATTGAAATGAAAATGGGAAACTTTTCACACTAAACTCTTCAAAACTGCAGGGCGACCACGAGGATACGAGGATCTAGAAACTTCTATGAGCACTACTGATTGATAAGCCTAAATAGGTGGTGCATGGAAATATAAACAGGAAGACCCAATCATCGGTTTAGTTCACTACACCCTCTGCCAGGGAGCGCTGATGTCAGCGCTAACCGGAGTTGGGGGTCCTTATTTATTCTCTTGGTCCATGCCTGCGCATCGGCTCTACACTTATCTACACAAGATTCGCACTTGCGACTTTATATCGAGCGGTGGCCGAGTCGTCTAAGACGTCGAATGCGTCGATCCGCTTGGATCATAGTGTGGGTTCGATTCCTGACCCATGAAGGTTTAGTTATTACCTGACTCTCATTGTTCATTGTTTTACTGCAATATTTCATCAAGCAGTCATTCCAAAACGCGTCCTTTTAATTTTAAAGTAATTTTAAGTAAAGTTTAAAATTAAAGTATACCTCATATCGTATTTTTTTAGGGGAAAAATAAAACTAACACTGATAGGAGGGTAAAAATAGGGCCGCGAAGCGGCCCATTGATGGCGCGGAGCGCCTTCAGGGGGTTGGGCCGCGTAGCGGCCAGGGGGCGTAGTAGTTTCTAATTGCAATGAAGTCCAGATGCCGTTCGGCTGATTCCAACTCCGACTGTGTCGTTCATCTCTGCGTAGATCAAGTCTCCTTATCACCCAGTTTGAGGCTACTCTTCCCTGTTTCTACGGAATCGGGCGTGCCATTCCTCGCATCTCGCTTCTCGCGTTTTATGCGGAGGTGTCACCCGTGAGCACTCGTGCCGATTGTATTCACCACCTCATGTTTCATCGCTCCCGCGAGCCCGCGACCCGCTTTGTCTCGCCGCGCTTTCCGTCGCACTCACGTCCACGTTAACGTCGCCGACTCGCGCTTAACGTCCTCCAAGAGACGCTGTGAATAATTTTTTTTGCAGGGTATTCGGCAATGAGTTTACCCTGCTTTGACGTTACGGCAAGTTACGTCATTGCGTTATCTCCTCATTGATCTCGGGTCGATAGGACTCCCTCACACTTTTCCACGACAAATATGACATTTGGTCAGATAGGAGGGGAACAATACCCCCCCCCCTCCCGGTCGGAATTCTTCGCGTTTTAAAATATTTTTTGTTTAGTTCAATTTTGGTGAAATTTGAAGAATTTTACAGTATTTCGAAGGTTTTCTGAAGTTTGGCCCCTCGAGCAAATTTCACCTCCGCCAAACGGCTTTCGTCCCCTTTTCCAAGATCTGGCTGAAATGACAAACTTTGGCTCTCGGAGGGAATCGGCCTCGATTTTGCCTGGATTGTAAGGCGTTTTATGGAACAGTATCCTCGTATTTAGTGCATTTTCCGAAGAAACTACACTGCTCTACACTTGTTCCCAATTAGTCTCATAATTTTGCTACTTATAACGTGTAATGTTTTGAAATGAAATATGACACAGGTGAAAACCTTGTTTTGTTTGATATATTATTAATTCTGTACAATTATTAATACTATATTACTATAAATAAATTTGCCATCATTCGCCACGGGCGCCATGATTTGTATCTAAAAGAAGTTACATCAATTCTTCGAAGGAACGACGATTCGTCTCCGACTAAGGCGAAGATGGGTAGAGACTCTCGTGAACTTTAATGCCTCTCTTGGTGTCGTAAGTTGCGGCCGTGCTGTAAGCTGCAGTTTTGTTCCTTCTGATCGGTTTTGGTTCGACGAGTTTCCTAAGGGCCTTCTGGTAACTGCCAGAAGTGCCAGAACACGTGAAAGTGCAGTACCTGCCGCCGAAGAGGGAACTCTTGATGCATGCGGAAGCCGTGGGGTGGCAGTTTATCCCGATGGTCGACGAGGGTAGATTCCGTAGGAGCTGGGCGCCTTTCTCGCAGTTGGCCTCCGCTTGGGCCCGCACCGTCCGGGAGAAAGAGTACAACATGTCGTTGCACACGTCCACGTAACGAATAATCCTGAGCCAGAATATCTTGGTCTCCTGCGTCGAGGACGGGTGCAAATCTGGCACTTTGAAGATCTGCGCCATCACAAAATAGTTAGAACGTCACCGAAGAAAAATCAACGAAAATGTGACTCGAATGCCGCCAATTGCAGAACGGTAGAATTTTGCTGGGTCCACGCACTTGTATGCGGAAATCGAAGCCAAAAATACCAAAAACTAGGTTTGGAAAGGGCAAAACGAACACTGAAAGTTCAGTTCAGCTCAGACAGGTGAATTGGAATTGTGGAAATAATTTGCTCAAGTTCTATACATAAAGACTGAATCCGTTGCCGCTTCTATTTGAGCACGTCAGATCGCCACATCCAGTCAGTACCCCCTCCCCAAGTCTCAAACACCAGAGTACATTTTGTGACACAAATTCTAGTGTTTGGTATATAGTCTTTGATCACCGCTCAGTAAAGTTTAGTCTCGACAGCACTATTTTACCAGTCAGTCATTCGTCAGCACATAGTACATCATTAAAACCGCTAGGCCAATGTTTTTATGGAAGGGGGGGGTGGAGTTGTTCTCCGTACAGCCGTTTTGCGACCTATCGTTTGGGATAGATTTTAGACTCCGAAAAGAAAGAGGAAAGAGATCAGACCTGAGGCGTGTGTATCATAAATGGGGAATAAGCAGAGAGGAGAACAGGCGATCAGCATCAGATGCAGTGCAAACATTTTTCAAGGTAACTAAAAACAAGTTCAACTTACTTCTCATGTGTACCAAAGGAGCCAAAGTAAAATAATTTTCTACAGTTTTTGTAGAACAAAAAGTTCTCGCTTGTATCATATTCTATTTAGTCGCATGCAAGTTTAGTTATGGCAGTTTTTGTTACATAGCGTTCATTTTGCAGCGGCGCCGCGCCGCGGCATCTCACAGTCAATCGAGTTCCCAGGAGAATAGGGGAAATCAAAACATCTGAAAAAATTTGCTGCCATTGAAAAATATTGCTTTTTTAAAAATGAAATTCCCGTCTCCGATGACAGTATAGCTTACCGCTTTGCTTGTCTGTAGGAACACGAGTCCAGTAACGAACAACCACAGCACTCGCACCCGCAGTTGAGACATAACTGATGATGAATGCGTTCAATTTTTTTCTCCTCTCGCATTCTCCCAAGTAGGTATTAAAAATGAGCGAATGACTAAAAAGAAAAAAAATTCCAATGAAGTGCGTAAAAATGAGTGTGGAGGAGAAATGTGCAGATGCCCCTTCATAGCTCAAGGAAATGTTCGTTCATTTACGCAGTTACCGTGCCTCGCAGAAACAGAAACGGAATGGGAAAAAAACGAGGGAGTAAAAAAAACCAGGCATAGAATCCTTTGTTTAAATTGGAGGAGGGCTTTGCTTTTTGGAAGCATGCAAGTGTGCCTGAGTACGCTGAAACAAATCACTTTGTTACGTTGTGCCGCCCCCCCACCCCCTCACCGCCACCGAGAGAAAGTGATGAACGCAAAATTTTTCCAGTCCACATTCTGCGGACTCCGTCATACGCGGTCTATGTCGATAGGTGGCCTCTCCCTCCGTGTTAACAAGCCTAAAAAATCGAAGTTTGGAGGGATCTCATAAATTTTCCCCATGCATCGACTCTATCGACGGTGTAAGTCGGCAATTACATAACTCGGCTTGCGACGTCGCAGATTTCCTGGCATACTTTATTTTTTAAACGGAAAACTACTCAACGGCCAAATTCTTTAAAACTGTCGCGATTATTTTTCTCCGTGCGACGAAAATTGTGCAAAAACTTGAAGGAATGGTGTCAATTTATTCTCCTTAAAAAAATAATAAAACAGAGGCGGAGATTTTCAGACACCGCAAACGAGATATGCCATTGCGGACTTAGGCCGTCGATATATGGGGCGGAAAGAAAGGGAAGACTTGCGGCAAGAGGAGCGAAAACATGCTCGCATGTCGCACCCCGTTATTTTGGTTTGGTGTTCGGTTGCATTTTTTCAGCCTCTCGTGAGGAATTTCATCATGGTATCTTGTTCGGTCTTTTTTGGTTACCTATTCGCAGTTTCTCGTTTTTCCATTGGGTTAGGCGGTTGCCTGCGCGAGATTTAGCAGTATATATGATTGCATCCAGTTTAAACAGAGTGTTGCAAACCTTTTCATAGTAGTACCTATTTTCTGGTAATCTTTAGGTGTAATATGGTAGTTCCAGGAAAGTATATCGGACCAATGTTTAAAAGATAAACCAATTTTTAAGTAAAAGTATTCAAGTGATATCCTCATTTTAATCTGTAATGAGCATTAATAGAAGTAGACAATACCTACTCGCAAAGCACGGAAAAAAATACTAAAGTAATACTGCGTCAAGACTCAACGGTAATACTGACGAGACGTTAAAGAATCCTAGCAAAATATACTGCTTATCAACGGTGTAAGTCGGCAATCTCATAGCTCGTTTGCGGTGTCTGAAAATCTCCGCCTCTATGTTAATTTTTTAAAGGAGAACAAATTGACATCATTCCTTGAAATTCATGCAGAATTTTCTCCGCACAGAGAAGAAAAATCACGGCAGTTTTAAATAATTGCCGTATAGTAGTTTTCCGTTCAAAAGATAAAGTGCGACAGGAAGTCTGCGACGTCGCAAACCGAGTTATGTGATTGCCGACTTACACGGTCGATATACAGTTGCGAAATGTTACCTATGGATAATTGCCATAATTTTAGCGCAGACTCAATATTGACACAAAATTGACCCAATTAATTTGAGGAACTGCGCGTAAATATTGACCCACATTGCCTAAATATTCTTATTTTAAATGGGTACCATGAGCAATCTTGTCCATTCTGGCGGTTTTTATTTTACTATTATCAGAATAGCAAAAATTCTTCGTTAGTATCACCGTATTTTCTCATCTCAAAAAAAAGTCGGTTTGCTCAGGTGACACAGGGAGTTGAGAATCTTCAGAGGAAGGTTATGCAATGGACATAGAAAATAAATAGATACGTCAGTTGTATTTATCCGTTTATTTGTCTATAAAAATTGCGTAGAGTAGTGTAATTTTCACACATTTTACCGTGAAATCGGGCATTTCGCCGTAAAACCGGACAGATGGACATGAGGCCTAAATGCCGGATTAAAGCATCTTCATACGGGGAAGTATTGTCATCTCAATCATTTTAGTACAGAAAAAGTGTGCCACTCTCTGATTGGTCGGCGAGTTTTAAGCTCTTGTGGTAGCTCCTCCGCTCCTTGTTTGGTCCAAAATTTAAACCATAAAATTGCGGTAGAAATATTCTTATATACAACTTCTGAGTTGAGTTCTGATCAGCCTTTGATGGATATTTTTTGCCGAAAACACTTTCAGTTCTTTTGATTATCATTTATTTCTTGTCCGACAATATGAATTCCTCTTTGTCGGGTTCGTTAACATTGTGCCACGACTCCCTGAAGCAGAAAAATATCTTTTTTCAAAAATATTCCGGGGGATGACCCCCCTCTCCCCGCGCATCATCCGAATAAACCCCTATCGCAACGAAATTCAACCTGGCTACAAGAGCTATATGGGATCGCAATGAATCAATCGGAAAGTGGCCCGAAGATGGAAATTCTCTCCCGTGTACAGAGTGAGCTGAAAGTCCCGCACCACCACCAGCAGGCATCTCTCTTGTAACTTTTGAACAAATTGGGATGGAGACTTGACATTTTCTGAGTGCCTTTAGGTCCAAGAAAACGATGTTTGAGAACTCCTAAAATTTTAAAGGGGCCACCCTGAAAAGAGGAACCCCCCTCCTTCCCCCAAGGTCATAGCGGTGATGCGGGACTCTTGGATTTTTAGATCTCCCTGTGTAAATACTCCACACCCCGCCGCACAGTGGATCGCGTGAATTAGAAAGGTCGGACGTGTAATTTCTGATTAAAACTGCAAATTTTGATGTTTATTTCGTCACATTTTGAATTTCAAGGGGTGTTTTTAGTTGAAAATTTCACGAGGAATCCGATGGACCAACTTCTAGAACCTCAAAGTTTTGTATAAACGGCGTTATGAGCGTTTAAAGTTTCCAAATTTTGTCCTACCTCTTCCATGAACTCGCGATCCACTGTGCGCCGGCGCGGATCCTGGCGTTCGCGTTTGGTTTCAAAAATCCGTCATAAACCCTGTTAAAGACATTTGGACGTATTTGTGCTATAAGGAACTATGTGGAAGCGGAAAGATGGAGTGTGCTCGTGGAAGCTGGATAAGAAACAATGTAAAAGTGGATATAGTTCCTTTTGAGAAAATGGAAAAGCGGGATTTGACATTAAATCAAAAGGAACTGAGCGCTAACTCGTGAGCCGTGGGCATGTGACAAGAGCGTCGTGGACAGGGCTCATGAGTTAAAGACCGATGACCCACTCAACGTCGCTCGTGTCGCGCCCGGTCCTCACCGCTGACGTCACTGACGCTTTTAGAGTCCCAATCAATCTTATGGCCCGAGCACTAAGGAGCACACCCCATCTTTCCACTTGCACATAGTTCCATTTCGCATAAATACGTCCATTTATCGATTGAACAGAGCTAGGTCCGATTTCTCATTCGTTCTTTTTCTGACTCGTCATAAAACTCGCAAGCAAGGCTCTTTGTACCCCTTGGTCCTGGTCATCATCGTCGAGTCGAGTCGGGGTGCGGGCCCTCCGCTCAGAGCCGTGGGCGAGACTGGCCGCGAAGACCCGGACGGACCGGGAACGGCCGTCGTCGTTGCTGCAAGAGAAGCTGCACTTGGTGCTCGCGGTGAGGCCGCAACAGCCGCTTCTGGTGTGACACCGCGCGTTCGTGGCTCTCACCTCACGCAATGGATCCGCTTCGACGCCGGTAGTCGGTCCCAGACGCTCAGCATTGCCTGGCACCTAGGCCTGTCCCCGAACCGATCGATCGATCGATCGATTATTTCGATGATCGTTCGAAGACCTGTTTCGATCGAAACTGCTCGATCGAACTGCTCGATCGAACTGCTCGATCGAAATGTTCGATCGAAATGCTCGATCGAAGTGCTCGATCGGAATGCCCGATCGGAACGTTTGTTTTGAAAGCCGTTTCGATCGAAATGTTATTTTGTAATGTTGAAATAAGATTTACCATGTTTAGCAAATAATTGCAGAATTTTCATNAGCCCTACTGGCACCGCGTCTCGGCTTGGATTCGCCGAGCTTCGCTCTTGTATCGACCACTGCACAAGTCTTGCTTCACCAAATCCTCGAATCTGCTCCATAATTCACCGGCAGAGGGAGACTCATCGTCATTGCCGAGCAAGCTGCACCATTCATCTGCTCCTTGCCCATACATCATGCCCCGAACCTGAAAACCCACAAAATGACGGTGGAAAAAAAACCGCAGGCTATGGAAGCCGTACTTATGCGGCCTATGCAGACATACCGTCCGCGTTCCGGGCTCAGAACCCAAAATCCGGGTGTAGCATCCGGAGCAGTCAAAACTACGGCTTCAGCACCCGGAACTTGCGGTTTCTGAGCCTCCAGGCTGATTTTTGAAATTTATAGACAAAGAAGACAAAAGAGATATGGGTGGATTCTATTGGTGGAAGCGGGTAGTTGCAATGGACAAAGGAGGTAAGTAATAGACGAACTAACGGCAATCGACAAGAGACCCTTGAGTTAGTCCATCATTTCCCCACTTTCAGTACAACAATCATCCTTGTTCAACCAATAGGATTGCTCCATTCTCCCTGTGTCTTCTTTGTCTATTGATTCTAATAAGCAGCCCGCCGGAACGGACGGTATGTCTCTATAGCTTGTAAGTTTTTTCAGTGGATAGATAGACATGATCCGATTTCGATGTCGATTATCGATTAATCGAAGGTGAATATTTCAATTTGATGATCGATTATAATATTATTATATTATTTAAATTCGATTGTTAGGGAGTTTCCATAAATTATTCAGCGCCCCTTTTCGGCTTGTTAGACTCCCTTCTCCCTTTAATGCCCAGCATTCCAGCAACGCAACTTCGGACCCCCTTTGGCCCCTTTGATAATTACGTAATGCTTGACGGAGCCCCCCCCCCTCCCCCCCGGTAAGACTCCAAAACTAGTGGGAAACTGTTGAAGGTAAAGCTGGGTATTTGAAGTAATTTTAATCGGTGCGCAGGTCGGTGAGCGGCCCATGTGCGTTGCCCATGAGACGAAATCGAACGCAAATTTTAGTTTGACAATTTCTCCCGATAGCTTTATTAGCTCTGTCGAAATTGATGGTGCGAGATAAATGTGTGTATTTTGATTGGACATTTATTCGCGCTCCTCGATATATGTTTATTGCCAATGCTGCAGAATGAAGGCCAACTCAAGTTGACGATATTTGCCAACAGGTAAACGCGTTTTTGTCTCTTGGTTCTATCAAAGATTATGGAGCGAGATTACTGAGTAAGTGCATTTTTCCATTAGGTAACTATTCAGGAGATGTTTGTTGCCAATGGAGAATTAATGAAGGGGAACTTTAAATGGAGGATATTCATCAATAGGATCAGAACGTTTTTCCGTGAATCAAGCTTATGGAGTCATGTTTATGTGACGCTTTCAACAACATTCGTCTTCTCTGCCTGACATCGAAGGTTTATCGTTGGTTCAGTCAAAGCGTACTGCGAGACCGCTCCCGACAGTGGCGAAGCGTGAATGATCGATTATCGATTTTCCCCCATTGGAGCTGTGGTAAAGAATCGATTATTCAAGTGTTCGTTGCGAACACCCTGCTTATCAATCTTTTCTATAGGTTTTAATGGCAGATCAATCGACTTATCGCAAAGCACGCTACGCCACTGGTTCCTGATAAATGTGATTAAAATTACATTCAAGCGGAGGCACTTTCTGAGTGTTTCATGATGAAGGAAGGTTGAAGGCCATCAAGGCGTCGAAATCTAGACACGAACATTTTTTCTGTTTATTAAACGCGAAAAAGCCACTTTTCTTTTTAAAAGTAAAGTCGTTCATTATGAACGTCCTCGCGCTTTACTTACCGTTGTTGTCATTGTGAGGATCTCAAGAATGGCACAAATCACGGTTGTAGTAAGATTCATTTTCCAAGAGAACACGGCCCGTCTCGTCAATATGCGAGCGAAGCACACTATCTAACTAGTAAGCTTTACAGCAGAACCGAATAGGAGGAAAACTGTAGGTCAAAAGACCATTTATATAGGGAATACTAACCTCGAAGTTTGGAAATAAAGTCATTTAAAAAAAGTTGTATCGGCAAAAATAGTCAAGTGTAGAGTTGCGTCAATGCGAGGGTCACTATTTTTGTCTTCCATCCAGCTTCACAGTAGAACAGGATGGAAATCAGGAGATGAAAAGAGCATTTCAAAACTGTCGAGTAACTCAAAAACATTAAGTGAAAATCTGCGTCAATGCGTGGGTCACATGTGGCGGACATGTCGCGGCAAAAACGTACTAAAACCTCCGTTGAAAAAGAGAGAACAATTGCCTACAACTTTAAGTACAGAGTGAAAGTAGAAAGCTGCAGCAACGTGTCACCATTTTACTTCCTCCTGTAGCTACCCCACCATGTATAACTCCTCTCAGAAAAAGAATCCATCAAAATGCTTTTAACCTTTTTTTAACCTCTCGTTCCGTTAAATCATGTTTGATGTACGTAACATCCTGGCCTGTCCATCGAACACATTTTCTATTCCGTCAGTTTCCATTTTCTCTTTTTTTCCTCTTCTTTTAATGTCAATGTGTGAAAGTGTAGCCGTTGAACACTGCTGTGCTCATAGGCGGAGCCAGTCACTTCAAACGATGGGAGCAGAAGAGGGGGTTCAAGGGAGTCTCCCAGAAAATTTCCAAAATTTTAAAGCAAGGTAAACTTGCTTGAAAATCACGTTGGACACATGAAAAAGGTCTAAAACCCACTCTGTAACGCGCAGTCTGCGTAGTTCACAACACTTTCTTTCAAATTTACCGCGTACGCGGGCAGTTTTTCTTGGTGGCCGGCAGTCAGCTATGTTAACACGGAAGGGGACCCAACCTAAATAAACCTAACAGTATCTTGAATTATCATAAACTTTCCTTGCGTAAGATTTCAATTGATTCAACGCTTTTGTTTTTGCAGAATTAAGAATAAAAAAGGAAACAAAGGCTTGTAAACGACTGAAATCGTAGGTACACTGGAAAAATTTAGTGAAATCACTCCTCTGCCTGTGCAAACTTGGTCGCTCGGCGGTGGCTGAGAATAACTGCCCGGAGACGCGGGAAACTTGAAAAGGCGTGTTACAAACTACGCAGATTGTGCGCTGAGGAATAGATTTCAGACTTTTTTGACGTGCCCAACGTGATTTTTGTGCAATTTTGCCTGAAAATAGTACCTATATTTATAGTCTGTCCCAGATACGAAGAGCCCTGGAAAATCAGAGTAATTAGCACTATTTGGCGGGTTGGGGTGCCTCGACCCTCGTCACCTGTCATCTCGTCGCCTCTCACATGCGTCGCACAGAGGGTCGCAAGCCACCTTGAGGCAACGCATACTCCCTTCGCATCTTTCCGCGATGGTTTTCCCCGAGGCCCAGGAGCGGATTCCCGGCGTAAGACGCCGACGCGCCGCAGAGCTCATAACCAACCCTCTGTGCGGTGCGGGGTTGGCTCGGTGATTAGTCGGACACAATAGAACGAACGATACCTTGCTTCTACATCGTGCAAATTATTCCGATTTTCCAGGGCTCTTCGTATCTGGGACAGACTATAGCTGTATCTCTTGCGCGCAACAGGAGAACAGACTCATTTCGTCACGAATAATCACCAAAATATTAGCGTACTCCCTTCTTCTTTCCTCCGTGCCTTCCTTCTCCCTTCCTTCCTTTTTTATCCCTCCATTTTTCGGGCGAATGGGGAGGCGTACGCCGTATACACCTCCTACGTACAGTGGATCGAGTCAATGGAGTTGAATTTGCGATTTGACTGTTGATTCTTATGTAAAAGATCGCATGAAACACGATGTTGCCACTGCTTTTCTCTGAAATCAACTCCCAAGCTCCAAAAAAGCTCTCAAGTTGAGCCCAAAATGGAGGGGATAGCCCACGCTATCCTAGAGTCTACCTCTAAACCAACACAAACTCTCCATGCAAAGATAGGGAGCAAATACATTGACAGGGTTGCCGTGATTTCAGTTTAAGAGTCCCCAAATAAGGTGGCAGCCCTGTCAATGAATTTGTTTCCTACCTTTGCGTTTCGACTTTTTTTAGTTTTTCGCCTCTCCTCTCTTTGGAATCGTTGCTACGTGAATGAAAACCTGTTGAGGTGATTCTCCATAAAATTCTGCATCTACCACACTTTGTTTGACCTTGGGGAAACGATTCGTTCGTGAGTTACAGCGATTTTTCTGCGCGTTACCGGTTACGCGCGGGCGGCATATTGGCGGCGCTCCATCCCGCGCGGGCTAGGCAGAGGTTGTTTCACCACTATAGAGCCTCATATTCATGCTGTAGGCTGTAACTATCGATATTTTCTCCTCCCCCACCCTTCCCCTCCAATAAATATTTTTTTTATACTTCGTTATACAGGGTATGCCAGACCACCCGTAACAGGTCTTTTTCTCGGTTGGTTTAGGTAGTACGAAGTGGGGGACTGTGGGGTTGAACAGGGAATTGACCCCAAGGAATCCGAATTTCACGGCCCCGAAACCCCTCTAGCCACCCTCCGGGGGTAAAAGGGGGAGGCACAATGTCTCCCGACTTTTGGGATCGTGACCCCCTCTTTACCTCCCAAGGGGGGCATGGGGGGTTTCGGGGCCGTGGAATTCGGATTCCTTGGGGTCAATTCCCTGTTCAACTCCGCAGTCCCCCACTTCGTACTACCTAAACCAACCGAGAAAAAGACCTGTTACGGGTGGTCTGGCATACCCTGTATAACGAAGTATAAAAAAAAATATTAATTGGAGGGGAAGGGTAGGGGAGGAGAAAATATCGATAATTACAGCCTACAGCATGAATATGAGGCTCTACAGCGGTGAAACAACCTCTGCCTTGCCCGCGCGGGATGGAGCGCCGCCGATATGCCGCCCGCGCGTAACCGGTAACGCGCAGAAAAATCGCTGTAACTCACGAACGAATCGTTTCCCCAAGGTCAAGCAAAGTGTAGTAGATGCAGAATTTTATGGAGAATCACCTCAACAGGTTTTCATTCACGTAGCAACGATTCCAAAGAGAGGAGAGGCGAAAAACTAAAAAAAGTCGAAACGTCAAAATCGAAAAAATCGATTTATGACCGCGATAAATTACGCAACCGTGCAAACAGCATTTATAATCTTGTAGAGAATATTTTTTAACGTTTTTTAGCGCAAACCGCAACACTTACACTCAAACCGTTCGCGAGATATCGATTTTTAAAGTTTTAAAAAAATTGCAACTTTGCCCCCCTGCCCCCTCCCCCCAAATTATCCGAGGGGGCTGAAATTTTGCCCAAGCATCAGGGACACTTAGTACAACATCTGAGCAAAGTTTGGGCCAAATCCAGGGGGGGGGCCAAAATCGGCGTTTTTGGAACAACCTCTTTCAACGCACGGCATTGGATTCTAACTTTCCACTAAATGCGCCGTGATATATACGCAAAAAGTCAATTTGGCCCCTAAAAATATCCAATGGCCCCTAAAAATCGAGCTTGATGGGCCACACGGCTCCTGAAACTCAAAGGTGAGTTTTAACACTGATTTCACCGGCAATTCACTCTGTGATACTTGAACATTTATAGTCAACCATTTTGATCTTTGGATCAGCTTCCACGTACAATGCCAGAGGTCCCTCCCATCTCATGGGATAATGGGTCAATTATACGTGTTCCAGACTCAGTTAGAAGGATAAAGCTCATGTCAGGGATGGTACAGAACAAAATTTACGAGGATAAGTCAATTAAGTCAATTGTATTGGTTTGTATATTTGTTTATAAATATTGCGTAGAATAATGCAAAGTTCAACTCTTTCTGAAGGATATAAACTGTAGCACATTCAATACAAAATTGACTACTTCGGTAGTAAAAAAGGAAGGAAACGGAAATAATATGTCCGCTGAAACTCCCATGAAAGTCCTTTATTTTAGTTTTAAATAGTTTTATTTTAGTCCATCGCTTTGTCCATCAATTTCAATAATGATGCCTGCAGGTCCTCCTTGAATTAGAACCGCGGATAGATCGCGGATCGGCAAGGAGACTCGGAACGGTCGGGCGAGGCTGGCCGCGAAGACCCTTTTGGTAGCAGTCGGTCTGTTTATGCTCCTGCATTGGAAGCTGCACCTGGTCGTCCACCAGAGGCCGCAATACGCCAGTTTGAGCTTGCATCCCGCGTTCTCGGCCATCTGGCAGTGCTTCTTGTCGTCCCTGGGTAGATTCATCCACTGGGCGAGTATGTGTTGGCATTGATTCTCAGCCAAGGATCGCATGATTGCGTCCGCGTAGCGACGCCGGCACTGGTCAGCGTCGACCGCGTTCACAAAGCTCGCCCGCAATTCCGCATCCTCATCCGCATTTTGGAATTCCGCATCCGGATTTTGGAAGTCCGCATCCGGATTTTGGAATCCCTAGAACGGTTTGAACCGAATGTTTTCATATCAGTAAGTACCCCAGAGTCAAAAGGTACCTATCTTTATTTTGATCTTTTCGAGAAGTTAGGGGAAACCCGCGCGTCGGCCCCATTGATTCCTCTGTAAATCGCCATTTTTAAAACCTTGTATCTCATAACGGGCGTAAAATAGGTCTACCTTTTCCACACGCAGAATCGTTAATGAAGATTTCGAAAACGCCGTTAGTTCGATTTTTTCCAAAAATGTGAGCCAGGTACCTTTTGACTCCGGGATACTGATCTGGAATAAGGCAATCAACGATAGAAGGTTTCAGACTGCGCGGGAGTTGGGGGATATAGATAATAAGATTTTTGGATCTGCGTTCGGAAGCTGGCTGAGGGCAAAGGGAGCGTTCATAAGTTACGTAATGCTCTAAGGGGGGGGGGGTGTCAGTGTCAGAGTTACGCAACCCTCGATCTTTAGACCTAGTTGTAAAACAGCTGTACCTGCAAGTATCTGCATGCTCAGGAAGGTATCCTTTAATTCCTCCCCCCCTTCCCTCTCCTATTCAGTTTTTCCAAATAGCCCCTACTCCGCCGCATTCTACCCGAAAGGAACCGTAAATGAGGGACTTGGAAGTGAAGTATTATAACTCAGCCTAAAGTCTACTTAAAAGGAGGGGTTTCCCCTAAGTTCTCATGGTTATGGTTAAAGAAATCAAGTTAAAAGCCAAAAATAAATTAAACAAGTAATATTTTAAACCACATATAAAACTTACAAGAAACAAAGCAAAGTATGTAAGATGCAAATGATTCCAGGGTGTAGTTGCAATATACTTGTATTTCCGCTTTACTTAGTTTGCTAGTAGGTTTATAGCTTTTTTATTTTGTAAAATTTTTCCACTTGTTCCTTAGGTATGCACTGAAGAAATCGCAGTTTGTTGGCGGTTGAAACGTTTGCTTTGTTTTTTGTTACTTTCATATTATTTCTCATCTACATGTAGTTTGAAATATCACTGGTTTAATTTATTTTTGGCTTGTAGCTTGATTTTTCGATCAATTTCTTCGCTGCTTAGCCAGTCAAAGGCATTAACATGTGTCTCATGGTCTATGATAATGTACGGTTTACTTACCGTCACTTTTGTTGTAATGATGACAATTATTAAAGCACAAATAACGCTTGTTGCACGATTCATTCTCTGAGATGGAACGCGGTCAGCGTCGCGTCGTCAACACATGAGCCGATAGTCAAGTACACGCACGACCTAACTGTTACGCTTCACGGCAGAATAAAATAGGAGGAAAACGGGATGTCAAAAGAGCTTTTATACGAGAAGTGTTGGTTTAAAAACATTGAAAAACAGATACAAGGTCGATCAACCCAAAAAAATTAAGTGAGAAGCTGCGTCAATCAGGGGTCACTCTGACATTCCCTTATGGAGCTTGTAAAAATATCTCGGTGAAAGCTTACTAAAACTGCTTTTGAATAAATGAAAAAAACCCTTGGACCGCTTCAATCTGAATAAGAACTGCGTCAACCCGATTCCCCTTTACAGCTACTTCTTACGCTCACAAAAAGGGGAAAACAGTAAAAGCTATCTAGATTTTTTTCAATTTTTTTCGAACCTCGCAATTCGTCAATTTATCTCCAGTGCGCATCACTTCCTGTCGGTCTAACTTATTTTTCATTCCCACTTCCTCTATTTTCTCTTTACCGCCTCCTCTTCGTTTTCAACGCGCAAAAGTGTAGGCGTTGAACTTGAGTGATAGACATGGAATAATCCTCGACTATGACTAGTCACTGTCTATTCTTGCCAGGGGCGTAGCTAGGAAATTTTTCTAGGGGGGGCCATGGGACCACCTCTCGTGATGAAGAGAGCGAGGGAGGGGGGTGAGGAATGGAGGATCCCGTTTTTCTAGGGGGGGGGGGGCAGGCCCCCCCAGGACCCCCTAGCTACGCCCATGATTCTTGCTGAAACGCTGTGGTAGAACAAAAAGGTTCCTCGCTTCTTCTCTTTAGCGGCACTTGATGGCTTTCGGCCCATAGCACCGTCCACTATACAATGCTCAAATCCTCGCTTACCGCACGAAGAACGTAACTCCGTTCCGAGCTTGCGAAATTGGCTCAAACAATTCAATGTTTTACCAACGTATACGGTATACCTGTGAATTTTTACTCGAAAATTTGGCAGATTTTTCCATGAGATCAGGAGCAAAATTAGTTAAATTTCCAATTATAAATGCCCAACATTATTTCTGTAAAAGTGCAATTTCCGACGGGAAATTTGGGAACATCGAAATGTAGTTACATGTAGTTACGTATAGTTTCGTGAGGAAAATTACCAGGTTTGAAATATTTTTGTCCTCTGCTCAGCATCCACGGTAAAATGCAGAAAGCACCTCTTACGGAATAATGGGTCAGTAACGCGTGTGTCAGACGCGTTCAGAAGGTTAAAGCTTGCATACATAATGTCAGAGGGAGTTATCTTTCTGAAGCCAAGTTTGCATTTTTTACTCAAAACGTTAACAGAAAAATACCTCCCGAAAAACAAGCTTTTTGGTGTTATACCCCATGGTAGTGTCCCCCATGGTGTGTAGAGCACTAATGTAGAGAGGGCGCGGCGCGTGCATTTGAGTCCCATGTAGACCCTTAGGAACCAAACAGGCCCGCCACATCTCATCTCGGGCCCTGGTACCAATTTTCTGGCCCGGGCCCCTAGCATAGGGGGGGTCCGGGGGCCTCCCCCGGAAAATTTTTGAAATTTTAAATCTCTTTGGACGCATTTTGAAGCTCTTATGATGGAGATTTTCCATCAATTTCTGCAGAATAATTACGCCTTTTTGTTTACTTTCAGCACCAAAAACTTTCGAATTGTTGCACTCAAAACATCTATAAATTTTTTTTTTGAGGGGGCAGATGAAAAATTTCAATTCTATGGGGAGCCGGGCCCCCCTGGACTCCCCTTTCGTACGTCTATGGCAAGGGAGTTAAGCCATTGAAGTCGAGGATGCCCAGAAAGGAGTCTCTTAGCATCCGACAACGGAAGAAAATGAAACACAGTTACTAAAAATATCATTCTACATGTACTCAGAATCTTGAAAATTTCTAAAAAAGTAAAAAAAATTTTATAGTGCCCTAGCGTGTTTTTGAAACTTTATTCACCTTTTGCGGAATTTTTAGGGTAATTTTTTCACCTTTCCCAACGAGACAAGGGTTACACATGAATTCGTAGTGGTTTGTCACCTGCGTCACGGGCCCCTCCAGGGCCCGGGCCCCGGTACCAAGGACCCAGTATCCCCCCCCCTTGTGGCGGGCCTGTGAGGACCCTGGATGAGAGGGGCTGTTGCCATCTTTCAACGCGTATCAGACGCAGTTGCCTTCAATACGAGCTCTATACTGCCGTGCTGAAAGAACGTATGAACATTCGCAAGTTGCCAAATTTCCACCAATAAAATGTTCATTTTTGAGGAAAGTCATAAATATTTTTCCGTGAAGTTCTCAGCTCTTTTATATTAAATTGCGAACAAAAGCGGCCGAAAATTTTGAGGAAAATTGCTCACCATTTTTACAGTAAATTTATTTTTTATTGAAGGAGATATGGCAACGTCTGGAGGCTCATACGGCGTTTTTCCTTAGCCCGGCCAGGCCCGCCACATCCCATCTCGGGTTCTGGTACCAGTTTTAAGGTCCGGGCCCCAAGCACGGAGGGGGGGGGGGGGGTCCTGGGGGGGGGGGGTCCCCCAGTCAAAAGAATATGAACTATGAAAAACGATGATCCGGGTATCGGAACTGGTTGATTTGAAAACGCCTTCAAATGCGGCGTGATACCTCACGCATTCCGGAGAGTTCAAATAGTTGTATCGCAACGATACAACTATTTGAACTCTCCGTAAGAATGTGACGGAAGATTTAAACGGAGATAGCCTTCATGCACGCTGGGCGTGTCGATTTCCTTTAACATTTTTGCGCTGGTGAATGCATAGCTGAAGTGCGCTCCAGCTAGAATTGTATTTAGCAAATGGGTGATTTTTCTGCGTGGATTAAAAATAAACAAGTGGCACGGAATCAGGGTTGCCACAAAAATTTGGAGATGATTTTCCCTGACTTTTGCAGGTTTTCCCTGACGAAAAATGGATAAACTCCCTGACCTTTGAGAACGCGCGCCATGATCGCACAGCCAAATTTACACCTTGCTAGCTACTATCGCACTAATATAGCGTCTCATTTGAAACGCGCTTAAGCTAAGGAGTCAAAAATTAATTGTAGAACATTTGGAAATACAAAAAGGGTTGTTTAACTTTTTCTTTTAATTTTGATGCTTTTGACGTGATCTTGTTGACACGCCCTAGCGTGTTTCTGAAAATCTATTCACCTTTTGCGAAATTTTTAGGGTAAATGTTTCACTTTTTCTTACGAAACAAGGGTTGCATGTAAATTCGTAGTGGTTTTTCACGAGTAACACGGGCCCGCCCGGGGCCCGGGCCCCGGTACCAGGAACTCAGTATCCCCCCCCCCCTGTGGCGGGCCTGAGCGCGGCAGCACAGGGCTGTCCATTAATGACCTCGAGCACTTTCCTCTAGAGTCCCTTTATACTGAGAGTCAAGACAACACCCCTCATGGAGTCACAAACGGGAATAAAGATTACACAAATTGAACGTTTTTCGTAATCTTTGATCGGCTCATTCTTAAATTCCTTTCTCCGTTCCTTCTCTCATTCCGTTTGTTCCTTGTCGAACCCGAAATTCCTCGGTCCATTCCAGATTATAATCTTTGCAATTGGTGAAAATGTAATCTTTATTCCCGTTTGTGACACTGTGAAGGCCCTCAGTATAAAGGGACTCTACTATCCTCGATTTTTCGACGCTCTCCTCCTCCCACCCTGTTTTAAAGAGGTTGTCAAGTGAACGTAAATACCCTCCTCCCTTCCTCTCCACTTTCCTCCCCCTTCGCCCCCACCCTACCTCCTAAGGAAGTACCTGACGTCTTTCATGATCGGCTCCTTTATTATGGTATCATACTTGAATAACTTTGCCTGGATTATTTCTGGAAACTTTGACTAGGTTTTTGATTTTGAACTTTTTTATGTTTCAGGATGTTCCGGTGACGCGCTCCGTGTCGAGAGGGGGGTGGGGTGAAGGGCGCTCGCATGAGAACTACCGGCTCTACCTGTACGCCGAGGGGAGGTTCGTCGAAAAAGTAAGACATCTTAGACTAACCGGCATCCCTGTTTTATTTATTCCTGGAAATGGCGGCTCTTACAGACAAGGTTTACCTCTTTTCCCGTTTTGCACGCTTCTTTTTGTCTTTCGTATAAGTACTAACCAAAGGCTTTGGGCTAACTTCACAGGCTTCGCCCAAGAACCCGCCCCCGGTTTTTTTGTACCGTGTACGTCGAAAACACGATATCTCATCTCTTTCTTTTTTAGAAATGGCACGGCCATTGTGTCAATATGACGTCAGCGTAGTTCATTGTATGAACTTGGTCAAAGTCGGGATCACCATACACGAAATGAGGGGCTTGGAAGACAAAGCGCACAAGTGCAGCTTTTGAAAAAATTGAGATATTCATGAAATCAACTAAAACCAGTTTGAAAGTATACCTATTCCGTGAACAATTCACAGCAAAATCCATCTTTAAAGGGACCGCGTTAAACAGAAAGGAACCAAGCCACATCAGCTATTGCCAAATTCAATTGGGCAATTTAATTTGTTACGTATGAAAGCGATTGTGCGGCTTTTCGTGCAAATTTCAGTGAATTTTCTCCATGGTACGAAGAAAATTCCTTAAAATTTTCAAAAGAATCCGCATAAACGTTCTCTCGTAAACAATTAAATTCCCCGGTTAAATTTGGTAATAGCTGATGTGGCTTGGTTCCTTTCTATTAAATGCGGTCCAAAGCATATCAAACAGTTAGTTTAAATGTTCTTTCGGCCATAATTTCCATGTTATTATAAAATTTTAAAAACGCATTTCTTGAAATAGCAAAAACTGCACTTTTGCGTCTTGTCCTCTGCCTCTGAGCCCCTCAAATCAATATTCAACCGTGTTGGTCTCGTATTGTAGTAATTTAACATATTGATCTGAACATGGTTTCCCACCTGTAAATTGTCGGCATCATGTTTGCGTCAACATCATATTATATCGTCATATTTTTACTCTTCAACGTAGTCATTTTTAGCGAGGAATACTTTCGAATTTGACTCGAAAGAAGAGACTGATTGTGAATTGACTATATCAGTCAAACCTGACTCATCACCAACATGGGAACAGAACATTAACGTCTAACGAATTTTACCCTAAGCTCTGCTTTATATGTACTCTTATGGATCTCAGGGCGCATGTTAGAATGGATTCAGTTCCTTTTAATTTAAATACGTCCAATAAGAAAATACCTAGACAAGAATTTCAGGAAAAAAACGAGTCGGCGTGTTTTTGAACCACAAATGGCCCTTTTACCTCGCAGGTATCGGCTTTAAAAATATCTTACTGAATCGTGAAGTTGTGTCTAAAGCTCTCTTCTTTTTGTTGTTGCTTTTGGGTCTCCTAACAATTATTTCTCGTTAAATTTAACTGATACTTATAATAGTACATAATATTTGTTACGAACAGGTTTGAATCCATAAGTTTCGAAATCGAGAAGTAGCTCTGAACTAGCCTGCGTTTAACCGAAAGGAATCCATAGAGAAAAAAAGGAGGTGTTTGCATTTCGGGCATCTTGGATTTTTTTGATGACGTATAGGTCGGTACAGCGACTCTTATCATCAATTTTCTCGGAAATATGGTGTAATTTATGGAAAAAAGTCGTTCTATGAAAAGTGCTTGAAATTATATCATAAGTTGATTTAAGCAAGAAAATAGGACATTATGGTTCGTTTTTCATACTTCGAATTCCGGATTTCGCTGGCCAGGTTGTACCAACCTACGTCACAGGGTAAACAAACCTCAAGATGCAAACAACTCCTTTTTCTTCTCTATGAAAGGAATCAACCCACGAGTCCAAGACACATGAGTTATGAGTACACGCTCAACGAGTTCAGTGGTGAGGCGTGAATGATCGATTATCGATATTTCCCCACTTGAAGCTATGGCAAAGAATCGATTATTAAGGCGTTCGATGCGAACACCCGGTTTATCGATCCTTTTTCATAGGTTTAAATGCCAGATAAATTGATATATCGCAAAACACGCCACGCCACTGAACAAGTTGTTACATTTTTCTGCATGCCAAATAATCAAAGCTCACCAAAAATTTGTACTAGATACTTCAAGCATAGACTCGCAGTTTAATATTATACATTGAGCGTTATGCGTTTCTTTCTTAATTAATTGTTTTTTCTTTGTTGTAACTCAATAGGATGTTCGGCTTGTTTCTGTTTACGTCGAATGCGTCACGATTTAATTCTGAAGATCCCTCTTCAATGTCTCAGTGAAATTGTTGCTAGAATTTGAGCGTAGGTATCCGCGACGCGGGTCAAACTTGAGGCAATAGAACGTATAGTCGATAGTGGTTCGATGTATCGTTTGGTTCAAAAAAATAGAACATAACCCCAACCACAATTTTGGGATTTAAGTTGGGAAGGTTGCAAATGAGAAAAAATTCCTAACCGTTTCACTTGTCATTGCCATATTGTACTCATGAGAATCTAAAATCTATCACAAAAAACCCGTTCTTTCAGATTGCCCAATAGACTTTTCAGGCTGCGTTCACATGTCGGACCAATCGATATCGATACAATCTCACCTGTTGGATGTATCGGATACGATCTATAGATCTGTCAATCACTTTCTCTAGAGCGGTTGTTTGACGAGGCGTGATTCCTGACAAGTGGAGGCACTCAGAAGTGGAGTAATTAGCCCGGCCAAGATAAGAAAAGTGTTTCGATGACGGATCATCGTGGCTCTGCTCGCAAAGAGACGTAGCTCAACGCAGCGATGAGTCCTGTAGTGCTCACGTCTAAATGTTCTCCACGGTCGCACGGAAACTGAGTTATGACTGTCTCTCCCAGACTGAAATTGGAGCACTCTCAGCCAAACTCAACATTCCGCTCTATGACGTGTAAAGAGTAATAACTGGTGCACTTACTGCACCTTTCTTGACTCCTCCCGTTCAACTGGAACCACAGGGTGTCTACCGACCGGAAGAACCGGCAATGTCAGCGAATTATTTTGCGTGTCAGGGAAATCAGGAAAACGACAGGGAATCTGCAAAAATTCGCCATGTCAGGGAATTTTATTTTACAAACAATTTTCGTGTTTGGGAAACGTCAGAGAAATCGAAAAACACGGATTTCCCGGAAAATGTTTCGCGACTTTTACTCTTTCGAAAATTTCTACCACAATTTCTACCAGCATTTCTGTCTATGTCTTTAAAATTTTAAATATGTGGCAAACATATCTCTTACAAGTTTAGGCGTCATATATTTTGCTCTATTTGTTACATTATATTCCTACAATATGAAAAAAATTCTCATTTACATCAAATCAGTTCAAACGTGTCGAAAAATTAGGGTTTTCCCCCTTTTTGTAAGGGAATTATTTTTTCCGCCCGTCAGGGAATTTTGAATTTTTCTCCTGTTTTGGTCATTTTTGTCGGGGAATTTTTTTTTGAAAATTTGTAGACACCCTGACCTAGGACTGGAAAAAAAACCGAGTTTGTTTATCCGTACAACCTGATTAGTTCAATAGGCTCCTCTCAGTTCAGAGGACTGCGCTTTCAGTCGCGCGAGCCGACTCCCTCGCTTCGAATCGAGGGTCAGTCCAATTGAACTCTTACATGTGTCAGGAATTTGCAATTTGAATACTGATCCCCAAGTAAAATTTTGCGAGAAACACGATGGTGCTACTGGTTGTCCCTGACTTTAATTTCAAAGCTCAAAAAAACTCTCAAAGTTGAGTTGATGGGGTATCCTCTCCACTACCACCTTAACTTTGAGAGCTTTCTTTGAGCTTTGGAGTTGATCTCAGAAAAAACCAGTGGCTTCATATCGTGTTTCTCGTAAAATGTGTAAAATTCTGCAATCCCTCGCGTATGCAATAGTTCGATTAACCGAAATATATTCACCGAACCGGACACTTTCGGTTGACGTAGACATGTTACATATCAACCGAAATATATTGGCTCGTTGAACTGAATTCTCGGTTCACGGAACTGAAGTTTTGTTTAGTCAACCAAAGAGATCGGTTCGCGCAACCTGGGGCTTGATCTTCTGCGAGCTGATCGTGGAAATTGATAGACGAAGCTAGACAAAGAGAAAATGAAGTGATCCTGTCGGTGGAGGCGGGTAGTTGGAATAGACAAAGGAGGTAAGTAATAGACTAACTAACGACAAACCACGAGAGACCTAGTAGTTGGTCCTTTATGTTCACCCTCAGTCTAAAATAACCACTTCTTTCAACCAATAAGATCGCTCCACTTTCAATTTGTCTTCTGTCTATCGCTGTGTCTATCGATTTTAATAATCATTCCGCGCTGCTCTATTCGGTAACTTGGCAGAAATTACGTATGACGGCGACACACACTCATCAGTCATCATCGGAATGAACGCGATGAAACCCAAAAACGCCTTCAATTTTTAGGAATGCAACACGGGCATCCCTCGAACACGAATAGTTGCATCCAGGCGCCGCCGAGTAACAGGAGAGGAGAAATTCGAACGGGCTATCGCCAAAATGAACTACGTTTTTTTAGGTTGTGCGTCAGTAAGTGAGAATTTCAGAGTGTGAGATCTTTTCTTCCAGTAAGCTAATTTTATTTTGTGTTCCGAACCTCTTCGGGAAGTTGTGTCCCGGTTTGTCTCAACGGTTACTAACACCAGTGGACACCGTTGTTACCAGATTCGACCAATCAGATCTGTTGGTTTTCGATCTGTTGAACCTTTTTTAGAACCACCTCGCGAGGTGGTACCAAAATCACGCACCAACGTTGCGATTCGTTAGTCACCGAATCGGAAGTTCCGAACTCAAATAGATGACAGCTCGGAGCTTCGGGCACAAAAGTAGTACCGAACCTCTAAATAAAATTCGCTTGGTGTGTTTTTCCCAACTTCTTCGCTGACCGCATGTGGGTGTTGGAAAGACACATTCTAATCGAATCTTTTAGTGCGGTATCGTCTATGGGCGGTTGATAGGTACGCGAGAGCTCACTTGTGGGACTTGACCACTCGACCGTTGAACATACATTCGCGCAAAAAAGAATCTATTTACGCAGAGAATCCACGGCAGATAGGCTTCTTTTACTCCAATTCGCATCTACATCCAATTAAGAAGTGAATCCTCACACAACTCGTGCAAAACCGTCTGGCGCTCATCTGTTGCTTCAGTTTTGCCGTGATTCCGTCGTTCCGCAGACGAAGGGACGTAACCCAATTTCATGGGTGTAAAATCGACTCGAAAAATTCATTTATTTACAAGAATACGACCCTGCGTTCCTTCAAGCTTCCCGCGTTTACGAGCAGTTTTTCCCAGTCATAACCGCCGATCTAGCTCGCACGGGCAAAGGAGTAAGAAAAACGATCTTGAGTAAACAAACGATTCCACTATTTTTTTCTGATGTATGATTCGAATCGTTTTCAAGTGTTTCTTTTTTTTTTCCTTCTGTATCTTGCAAAATCTGAAGTTTTGAATCAATTGAAATCTTGCACAGTTACAGTTCATAACAGTTCGCGAGATTGAATGTTTATTCAGATTATGGTTCAGTCAAATTAGCTTTGGGAACACTGCAGGAATACTTGACACACTGCGACTAACACAGTGCGGTCGCTGGTCGGCGTAAAGAGCATAGTAGCGCCTACAAGACTGCAGGAATACTTGACGCATTGCGCCAAACACAGTGCGTTGCTGCGCGCTGCGGTCACCGGTCGGCGTGAACGCATATCATCACCATCCGACCAAAGGATCACAAGCGCCGCACTTTGCCAACTTTCTAGGAGACACAAAAAACTGATTTCCGACCGCGTAAGACGGAGTTTTGGCTTGAAACTTGGAATAGTGATCCACCGCAGGCCTATGGAATTCAAATTCCCTCGAGCCACCATTTTATGAATTTCACTTTTTCTAATTCATTTGAGCTTTATTCCCAAAATGGCACTTTGGAGCAGCCAATTTTTATTGATACTGGATCTCCAGGGATCAGTTAACACTGCTCTATAAAGGTTTCCCGTAAATACGCGTAAATAGGTAGTTAAAAGTCTACTTGTATTATTTTTTTTTATGGTTTTGAGGGAAGTACTTTTAAGCAGGAATACCGCGCTTAAAAATGACGATATTTTAAAATGTTATAAGTGAAATATATTCTACTTAAAGAGAAGAATAAGCTTCCATTATCAGAAATTGTCATAAATCTAATGGGAGGAAATGCCAACCGGCAAACGATTTGTTCCGAGTGAGGCAATATTTCTCGAGTGTCGCCTGAGCCACTTTGGGAGGCTGTGTGCGCTAAATTGGGATTGAAAAATTGAAAACCAATGCCCGTATCACAAAATATAAGTCTTTGGGAAGACATCTACGTCAATGAAATAACTATTTGTGAGAAACGCCCATGTCCGACTTTTTGTGTCCACCGTGCGGCGGATACACTAAACTGCAATGAAGTACAATCTCAAAATTTGATACACGTGCAATTGGTAGTGAGGGCTATAAATTAGGCACAAATATTTTTCAGAATATCACACGCTTCAATTATAAAAAGCGCGCCGGTTGTGACACACAAAAAGGTCCAATGGAGTAACTTTGCGTTTTAAATCCTTTCCAGAATATTCTAAATTTCGGCAGTGACTACTGTACGATCATATTTTGATGTGAACACTTCATTCGACGGAATGGAACGTTGTGTGGCGATTTTGACTGCCCCTAGCGGCCGCTTTGACGAACAAAAACACCTGTGACGGTTGTGGCGTCGAAACTGCATGACAGCATATTCTCGAAATATTTCGGGTGGAAAACACATTTTTTCAAAAAATCAAGTACATCGCTCAATCAACTACAAGTACTTTTGATGCAATTAATACACAAATTGGAAAAATTTACCAGTTGTAAATATTGCAACCTGACAATCATGACAGTGACGGTCGTGACATTTCAAGCAGTAAAAACTAAAATGAAGGTTAATACATCAACTTACACAATTTTAACCGTCAGAATTCCTCAAAAACACTCATTTGCATTTGAATAGGTGAAATATGAGATATTTTATCACACATCTTACAACTAAAACGTTCAAGATTCAAATTGGGCGCATTTCGTAGAATGGCCTTGATTAGCGCCTGCAAGACTGTAGGAATACTTGACGCATTGCGCGCTCACCACAGTGCGCGCTTTAATCGTTGAAAATTGGTAATATCTCGGTGCCGGACCTACCGCGGTCCACACTACATTCAACCAGTGTTTACCTCGAGCCTCAATCCTTGGATCGAGGGATTGTAGAGATTTTGCACAGTCCATCGAGTCATTCATGTCGAGGCCCATCCATCTTTCCTGATCGACCATCGTTAAAACGAGATCCTCTCCATAGCGAGGAAATCAGCCGCTCCCTTGAGTTCTCGCTGTATAGAGATTCATTACTCTATTATTATTTTCTTCCCCTTCATAATCTCACCCATCAGTAATGCACGAGAAGCAATCAGATAATGCAAATGTGAATGTGTGAATTACTTTTTATGCGTTCAGATGGGTATGTGTTACGGTCAGAACCCGAAAATCGGGCACATGGCGATTTGCCCGGACAAACCCCGGTTTTTTAAAATATTTCGCCATGTGCCCAAAACGCCTTGGGCTAAACGCCATTGGCCCGGGCCAATCGCGTTTTGCCCGGTTTTCGGGTTTTGACCGTAACATTTCGGGTGGAAAACACATTTTTTCAAAAAATCGAGTACATCGCTCAATCAACTACAAGTATTTTTGATGCAATTAGTACACAAATTGGAAAAATTTACCAGTTGTAAATATTGCAACCACATTACACATATACATATGTACCTAACATACATATACATATGTACCTAAATCAGCAATGCTTTGACGCAAAAGGAGATATCGTCGACCTTTTCCCCTCTTTACCTTTTGCTTAGTGGTAAAGTAGCTCAAGTAACATCCTAAGGAGGAGGGGGAGGGTTAAGACAAGATCATTTTTTTCGCAAAATCAAAATTGTACTTTTCTTGAACCCAAAACATATCAGATTTGCTATCATACTCGCGAACTGTATAAACCTCGCGGAAACGTCATGATAGGCACTGTTCTATTGGAAATCGTGTCTTCTTCGATTTCAGTAAAAACAATTTGATGCATGAGCAATTGAAGATGAGGAGCAGAGGAATCGACCATCAACGGCAACTGACATTTGCTTTGTGGAATAAGTGCAGGCGAAAGTGCTCGAAAATGGTCGTTTTGAGCTTACTGAACAGTATACTTAATATGTCTGAAGGTTTTGTACCTAGGTACAATTTTGGTACACTTGCCCCTTGATTGTTTTCCTTTGAACAAAAATCCTACCTTTCAATTTCCCTATAGCTGCTTGAGCGTTCTACTCTCTGGTTCTAACAATGATCCTACAATTTTGGAAAGGATAATTTTCGGTGACAAAATTTAAATGTACGGCTACAATATGGAGACGAAACTCCAATCATCCTCATGAATTGAAAAAAGTAGTGAAAGACTGAAAAAAGAGAGACAAGTTCGGTCAAACATAAAAATCGCACAACACCCATGAGGTTGCCGTACTTGATGCCACATACCAACGAAGCTAATCAGGATTTTTCAAATTTGTGAATGTAGCGTTCTTACGTATATTTTCAGCTATCAGGAAAGTCCCAAAAAACCTAATTCGGACGCATTGTGGGCTAGTTATCACCAAAATCCGGTTTCTAATTTACAGACCTCGTATTCCTGCTCATTGGATATCCGTGGTGCATGTCGCAAAAATGAAGGCGCTTCCCCGTCTTGTCATCTTCGAAGAAGCCCTGCCGTTAAAATGTATGTGTTTGTACATGGCAGTGCATTCTAGTCATTAATTTATCCATTGAATCAAGAACTCTGCATATCTTTTGACATTTTCATACTAATAATAATCTCATGATCTGCTTTTTCAGTTCGATCTCTGGCGTCGATCAGTCTGCACAAAGGACTGGACCTGAAAGCCCCGTATCACTTCAACTTTTTCGGTCTGGACCTCAACGAAGAGTATTCAGCGCTATTTGGCGGGGTACTCAAGGAACAGACACAATTCGCACAGGATAGCATCCGTACCATATTGAGTCTGTATCCTAGTTTCAAGCCACCCCCTTCCATCATTCTTGTCGGACACTCAATGGTTAGCTTTTCAAGTCTTGAATTTTTTTCATTTAAGTACTCAATGGAAAGAGGATTTACTGTCAAAGGCAGAGAAATTTTAAAATTTCAACTTTTGTCAATCCTATCACCTGAATTTTTTTTTACATGTATCCGAGATCTTTTCCTCAAAAATTTTAGCACTTAGTAAAACAAATGCGTTTGCATCGTAAAATAGGTGGAGCACATCCAGGTTTGAATCAAGGCTCCATTTTGTCTCTACCCATTAAGAAAGAAGGGGCATAACTCCTGAAGAATGTCGTTTTTGCCTGTAAGCTCTTTAAACATTTCTGAACCTCCATGAGCCTGAAGTAAATGTTGGTGTATTCCTGCAACCAGCGAAAAAAAGGACAGTAAGAAATTCAAAGTTAATCCTCACAATTTGAGGGATTTTTATTGCAAAACCTTAAATTATACAGTTAAATCCTAAGTCTGCAGAAAACTTCAAACTTCCTTAGAATTTTTGTCCCTATAATCATTATTCCTAAACATGTGCAACTTTGCATGAAGGCGTAGCAAGTAAAAATTTCTTTCATTTTCTCCCTTACTACAAAATCTTTCGTTTTATTCAAAGGGCTACATAAATACCAATGTATCATTCTTCAAATTTTAGTTAACTATTTTAAGATCCGAATGCTTACAAGCAGAATCATTCGTTTCTATTATTATGTTGGTAATTGCAATGGACACTTAATTAAGTCCTGTAAAATACATCCACATGCAGTAATAAAAAAGTAGTGAAAGTAACAGCTAATCAACTAAATGTACACATATTTTAAGTATTCGATTTTATGTAAAGATCCATAACTAATTTATCTTACGCTTTCTCAATTAGTCGTCAACTTTAATTTGGGCTAAAGAAATAACTCTCTAGGTAATTGCAAATTTTTCTTCACTAACTTCACAAAAAGTTGTTATTTTTTTTATTTTATTTCGCAAACCGTGAATAATTTTACTGTATTTTATCTTGCATTGATCACAGTGTCTAGAAAAAGGAGAGATAATCTCTTTAATTATCCTATTTGTCATAACACCCCGTGTGATCCGCTTTCAGGGTGGAATTATTGCAAAGGGGCTGATGATAGATGAGGCTTTTGATGCAGCAGCAACGATCAAAGTGATTGTGACACTGGCTTCTCCTCACACTCCAATTCTGTTGCTTGATTCATATTTGGCTGACTATTATAGAGAGATAGATCTCCACTGGCAGAAGAAAACACAAAATGTAACGCTCATTTCTATTGGTGGTGGAAACCGTGACCTCCATGTACGGGGCGCTCTCACTCATGAATCCTCCGCTGATGTTGATGTCCTTGTAAGTTTATGCCTCTCCTTTGCTTTATTTTAGTGTGATACTTATAATACTCGTAATAATTCTTTAATGGCGTTTTTGGGCCAAATGATGATAGATTCTCTTCATACCCGTTAAATGAGTTTCTACTAATCTACTATAAAGACAAAGAGATAACTATGGATGTAGGCAGTAATGTGACAGTGGGTTTAGGGTAGTTGTACAACTTTTATTGCACCCAGTAGCTTAAATCTCTCTGAGGAACATTTGTGTTTAAATACCTAAGTTTTCTTTCTCTTTCTAATTTTTAAACATATTGTCACTTTATCTGAAATAGTCTAAGAAAGTTTTGATTTCTTGATTTAAATCTTAATTGAGATCATTTAAACAGAGAATGACGAACTTATCAGAAACTTCTAATTATGAAGGAACAACGTCTGAGGTTATATCTGAGGAAGCAAACTTTTTCTGACAACCGATCTTGCAAGGTTATGCGCCTATCGTATCCTTGGCATTGTGTATGAATAGGAAAGATTGGTGCAAACTCTATAAAGATGACATTCGTTCTAGCACTTTGCTTCTATATTTTTTTTTAAATCTTATTTTAATGAAAAAAATTCAACTTCTGAACAATGACATATTTTCCTTTTCCGTCTAAAAATAGGGACCAAGCATACCAGGCGTTTGGAAGTCTACAGACCATTTGTGTATTTTGTGGTGCAAAAGCCTAGTCAAAGTCATCAATCGTGCTTTTTTTGATGTCATTGATACTACTTCCATGGGTGTTCACCGTAATGATGCTGTTCGTGCTGAAATTTTCAAATACCATCTCCAACAAGTGAGTCACCCATATTCAGTATTCATCAACAACTAACCGTTCTTTTGATTTGTTAACTTTTTATTTTCAAGAAGTCCGCATTTAACTTTGCCCAGAATTTTTTCAAAGAAAACATATCCTCAAACAAAACATTCCTAATGCAAATTTTGTATGTTTTATGACTTTTGACTTTGACTTACTATCCTCTGCTTGAACAAAGTACTGACTAATGTCAGCTAGTCAAAATATTAAATCCAACCTTTTTGAAAAGAAGAAAAAAAAAACACTAAGAAGTGGCCCGAAACCTGAATGTAACAAGGTGGAGAAATGGTGCTGGGTCCACACCATTTCGTGGGGAAATCAAAGCCAAGAAGTTCTAAAAATTAAAATTAGAGTTAAAAATAATTTTTTGAACTCTAATGCACACCAGTACGAAACTGAGGAGTGAGAGTGTTCAGCTCAGAGTCTGTCAGCGTCAGTCTTGGCTTTGATTTCCCCTCGAAATGGTGTGGACCCAGCACCATTTCTCCACCTTGTTACATTCAGGTTTCGGGCCACTTCTTAGTGTTTTTTTTTTCTTCATTTGTACGCACAGTTTGGGGACATGTGTTTTCTCCCGTTCGGGAGCGGGCGGTTGCGTCTAGATGCGTTCGCATCTCCAACCAGCCTGATTATCATTTTTTCGGGTTTTCCTTGTTTTGTTATGAGAGTTGTTCAGCAGTGACGGTAGATGGCGCGAGGATCACACTTTTGTGTCATGCCTCGGGTCATATCCATGACGGCGTTTTAATGCCGTCTTGGATTTTGCGGCATGTTAAGTTGGGTTCACTGCCGAGTGTGATCTACTGATGAGGTCTAAAAAAGCCCAAACCGGTATAGATCTCTCGACGTGACTCCAACTTAATATTCCACTGCAAACTGCCTGAGCTGAACACTCTCCCTCCTCAGTTTTGTACTGGTGCGCATTCGAGTTCAAAAAGTTATTTTTAACTCTAATTTTAATTTTTGAAACTTCTTGGCTTTGATTTCCCCACGAAATGGTGTGGACCCAGCACCATTTCTCCACCTTTTTGAAAAGTTTAGTCGATTGAGTTGTACCACAGTTTATTCTTGATAAGTTGTGGAAACTAATAACATGAATTAAATTTTGCTCCAATCTTTTTGGCATTGATAACCAGGCCATTTTTTTCATGAATTGAACAGAGAAGTGATGGAAAGCATTTTCATCAAGACCTCCACCCACCCTCCTTGAAATTGGATCCTGCTGCAAAGTGGGTAGAAAAACGTGAGCTACGATTCCGTTATGCTGAAAAAGAAATCACCAAGACTACTTACCTCCTGCTTCCAACGACTAATTTTAAGAGCTCTCAGTTTGACAAGCTCACCATTGATGCTGAGAATCTCAAATCCACCGATTGGATATTTTTATGTCAAGCAAATGAAAATCGCAATGGAAAATATTGGTAAGTTTGGATTTTCCTGAAAACTGATATATATTTTCCTAAAGTTTTTCTAAGTATATTCATCTACTTTTCCTCTTGTACTACCCTCATTATGACCAGCAATTATCAGATTTTAAAACTATCAAAAAAACATGTATTTCTGCACAAAGAACCTTTACCTTTCTCGGAGACTATTTCTGTATGGATAGCCGAAATTTTATCTTTTGTTTGTTTTATTGTCACAGTGGCAAATATTTATGACACATTAAAATCAATAATTTTGGTTGACTAGAGAATATCAGGGAATCTAAAAATTAGGAGATTGACTAATTGGAAATCACTTGTTCTGTTTCAAAAAATATGAATAAAATGAAAGTGAAAATTTAGAAAAAATCATACTTTAGTCACATTTTCTCCAACCTAAGGTATTAAAATGTTAATTCACAAGTTTTCTTCTTTTCCAGTCTGTTTGGTGAAAATTTGAGCAAAAATGGTTACATTATGCCGACCCTGACACAAAAACGTAAACAGATCCTAATTAGTGCCTCTGATATCAACCTGGACTTTTTCACACATATTATTGTTAAGATCTCTGCCACAAATGATCCGGTAAGCTTCCCAAGCATTCAGCCAGCTATGGATTGGATGCTTGTCATAGTCGAAATTTCTAGTGTCTCTGATCTCCTAAGTTCATGATCAGTACTTAGAATTATGATTTAAAGTTATAAATGTCTAATAGAGATCATGTTGTTACCCTGCATTATCCCTTAGTTTTGTCTTTCAGCACAATAAGGCCCTGTTCACACGAGCGCAGTTCGCGGAACTTATTCCTCGAACTGCTCAGTTCCCGGAACTTATTCCTCGAACTGCTCAGTTCCCGGAACTTATTCCTTGAAACAAGGCATGCTGTCCACACGAGTTCGCCCGAACTGGAACCGGAACTTCATTAAACTATACAATTATTGCAAAATAATAGATTATTACGACCGCCAAAGTAACAAAATTAAATTTCAAGATATGTAAAGGACGTAAAAAACAAAAACAAACAAATTCACATCAAAAGAAACATATGTAGAAGCTCGGAGTACGGGGGAAGTTCCGGGTTTTGGAGGAATAAGTTTTAGCTTAGCTAAAAACTTGCTCCGGGAACAAGTTCCTCGAACTGAATTCCGCAAACCGCGCTCGTGTGGACAAGGCCTAAGTGAAGAGCAATAATGACACTTTATTTTCTCCTAGCAAGGCCTTGTTAAGCTTGTGCACCTAGCATTCCTTCAGATTCTTTGTGGTCCTCCTCATATCAAGGTAGAGCTATGCCATATCAAGCAAATCATTCTACTATGCTGCAGACCATTCAGAGGAGATTTTGGAGTGTAAGATGATTTTTTCCCCCTTCCGTTCAAAAGCCTCTCAATAGTTTTCATGACTCTTTTATTGATGACTGTTGACTCATGTTTCTTCATTTTTTTATTGATAGGTATCACTTTCTGTCGACTTTCACAACTCAAATGAAAGAACTCTGACCACTCCGCTCCCAAGTCTCGTATCTTTTGGAAGGACATTAATCTCGGCAACAGAACCTGGGGCAGTAACTTATTCTGTACAGATTCCAAATTTGGAGAATGAAGTTCAAGCAGGATATCTACACTTAAAGTCCGTAAAGTGTAATAAACAGAGACACTATGCAATTTTGCAAATGAAAGTTCCATGGAGTCAGGAAAGCACTCACTCTTTCTCCAGGTATGTGATTTTTCTTTTGTAAAGCAGTCACAGTTTTCTTTTGGTAGCATTTAAGTTTATTTATTAACTTTTCCAGTAGTAGTAGCAACATAGGATGAGATCTTCGATGTGCAAGTAATGACAATTCTGATTGTTGCATCATGGTTTGAATTGTATGATTCTGGTCTTTTTAATTAATTTTTTTTTTATTTCAGTTACAAAAAGCAAGTGCCCCTATTTTTGAAACTGTACCGTTCAAAACCTAGCGGAGATGCAAGTGCAGCTGCTGTTTCTTTGACTCTTGATCCAGATTGCGCTTATACAGTCAGGTTTGTAATGTATCCAATTGTAAGATTGTCTCCAAAGATTTGACAACTTTCGAATCAAATTATAGGACCTTTGAAAAGAGGCCTCTTGTGAAGCAATTAAAACCTTTATTCAAACCAAAACATAACAAGTTCCAAACTGGTTGCGTTCTTTTTCCTAGGTAATTAATTTTTTTGCTGATTTTTAGTTTTTATATTTATGAATAATTCTTAAAATGGTTTCATTTTTTGCAGCATCGAGTCATCTGTCATCGATTTTCTTGCATCTGTCGGACAGATATATTCACCCCTTCTCATCCCAAATATTGTCGGCATATTGCTACTTACCCTGTCAGCTCAAATGATGAACTTGGCCTTATTTGAAAGTTGTTCAATGTACCACAACGTTTTAGTTGTTGGCGCTCAACCGGTCAAGACTCTTTGCATCACAAACATAGTGACATACATTTTAAGGTAAGCTGTTTTGAAGAAAATAGTCCGGTATTAAAAGTAAGTCATCTGCAATACAAAGATATTTAATTTTATTTTGAACATTTAGAGAGCTCAAAAAAATAACCTTTATTCATTTTTCTATGGAAGGAAGTTTTGATGGAACATAGCGAACGGCCTCGAATCGTTTTATCACTGCAGAACTATAGACTCATCAGAAACATGGGGGTTTCAAATTTGGGTGTTGCATATTACTTGTCATATTTTACTTTTTCGAAGGACAACTGAGAATCATTAATACACCAAATTCCGCAGGGATTTTTGTCACCTTTTCAAAATCATTCCCTGAAAATTCTATGATAAAGTAACAGCTGATATTTTCTTGAATAATTAAAATGGGTACTAGCACTTTTTAAACACCACAATGGAAGCGCTTGTTCCGGAAAGATGCCAATTCTGGAAAAAAAAGAAAAAAATCTGGAGGCACAGAAACACACAGGAGGCGGGAAAGAATTTCTTTTCTGTCAAAAACTCAATCTTGAAAAAAATCCGACTTGGTACCTTTTCAAAATGAGCGCTTCAATTGCAATTTGTGTTTCCTTTATTCTCTATCTAATCTAATCTTCATCTTTTTCTGTACATTTTATTTGATTTTCGATTTTGCAGTGTTCTTGGTGTTGTTCCGGCAGTTTACTACCAACTAAGTTTGGCGTCGATGTTTTACTTTACCGTAGGTTTTGCCATCTTGTACATCATTGGAGTTGGTCTCTGGTACTCCCTTGTCTTCAGCACAAACAAAATCAGTGATATTGTTCTCTCGTAAGTATTTTGCATATATGATTGATAGTATACTTTATGCCTTTATTGCGCTAATTACATTAAATTTGTAGAGGAACTCCGCTCAAGTCCAAAATCATTTCACAAAAAGCTCATAGAGAGCAATGAAGTTCTCCTTTTTTAAATGATAGTTTCATTTTATTCTTAACACAGCCTCAATCCAGAAGCCTCTCATAGAGGAAAAAAGGTGGTGGCACCTTTTGATTTGTTTACAGCAATATGTTGGTGAATTCAGTATGTTCATCATCAATATTCCTGCAAAATCCAAAATTCAACTCATGACCAACGAACGGTAGAGTCCTTTGCTTAGGTACAATTTGACGCAAAATATAATCTTCTACAATTTCTGAAGTATATTTTTTCCCCATAACCCCCTTTTTTTTTTAGAAAATTGATGACTGAAATTCCTGTGCCCTCTTACATCATTGACCCCTTTCCGAGAGCCGAAAATGTGAACATTTTTTTTTGTATTTAACTTTAAAGGTACTTACCGATTGTTTTAATCTGTCTGTGCGCAATCAAATTGATGTTTTCTAGATGAGTAATCCTCTGTGTTCTCTACTGACCAATTAGAGTGTCAAAAATAACATCTGTAATACATCAACCTTTTTGAAGACGTAATTTTCATCTTGGCAAAGATGGCCAATCATCAACAACCAATACAAAACAAGTTTTCTGAATGCCATTCGTAATTCGATGGTAATTTTCTTTTATCTTGCTCCCTCAGATTTTTGGCAAGGTATCTAGGCAGTTTGACGTGGTCTGAATGGATACTCTCAGGGTTGGAACAGTTACCAGTCATCGTGTCTGCAGTCCTTATTGGTCTTGTCAACAGCACTTGTGGAGGTCTTGCTTTGTCTCTTGGTGCTATTTTCTATTATTTAAAGGTATTTTGTTTCGTTTTGTTTTTCTCTGGAAGGTTAGTTTGTTATCATACCTTTTTGATACTCGCAGCTTTTATTATTGATCAGCACTCTTTAAAAATCTTCTTTATGTTGAAAAATTGTCTTATTGATCAAGAAATTTTTGTATTCTGCTCGTTAAATACTTTGTTAGTACAACAAGATATTGAAAATTGATACATTACACGGCACTCATAGGGTTTATGTTTTATCCCATCTCACCAATAGAATAAGTTATAGTTTTAAGCAATAGGCTCACAGATTGACAGATCTTGCTGTGTTGATGGAACTGTCAAATCTCATTGGGAATTTAATTCTCTTCAAGCACCTCAAAACCGCGCTGGACTTGCAGATTGGAATTTTTATTAGAGTCAAGATTTCAATGATTTTCTTGGGATTTCTTGGAAATTATATCAGTAATATTTCATAATAGGGGCGAACAAAATGTCAAAATTGAGTAGAATAAAATATTTTTTTAATTTTTATTTTTCAGAAGTTGTTTAATTTTTATTTTTTTGTCTACAGTTTTCATTTGCTTTCAGAACTCTTACTAAGTAAAAGAGCAAATCTGGCGTGACACTTTTTATTTACCAACTCCTATTGGATATTAACTGATTCTTTTTATTTACCAACTCCTATTGGATAACAAATTGGTATAATCGCTGGCCGTTTTCATTTCAGCTTTGTTCCTTATATGAAGATTTCCTCAACTATTACATCTACTACCCATTTCGCTACATCATAAACCAGCTGAAGGCTCGATTGAGCTGGAAATCAAACACCGAGCTCAAAGATATGTGGCGGAAGAACTTGCCACCTAATGTTGACGATGATGCCAATGATTTGACACCGCTACATTTCCACTTCACGATTTTTCTGCTGTGGGCAGCCTTAGCTATTCTGAATGTCCCATCCACTCTCATGTGGGCACATAACTTCCAGTAAGCTCAATTTTACTATCAGCCTCAAATAATTGATTTTTTTTAAAAACTAATCATTTACTTGAGTTTATTGTGATGTGCACATTAATTTAATTATGTGGTTCAAAAATGAACCTTTTTTTCCCCAATATAATAATAATGATTATGGTTTCAGGATAGCCGTTGCTAGATATCATAATAGACAAAATCTGAAAAACCTTGACACTTTTAAACAGTAAAATCTGTTATGTATTTAAGTTTCAACTTAGGTTTATTTCCTTGCACTGGTTACCCTGAAACCATAATTCCCTAAAATTGCTACTACTGTAATGTTGAACTAAAACAACTTTGCAACTTTAATAATGATTGGTTATTTCTCCTTAAATTGATGCAGTAGTTAAAACCTAAATTGAAGAATAACATCTATAACCAAAAATATTATCAGGATGTCACTATAATGACAAAACAACAAGTTTTGATCTGACGATATTTTTTCTTTTTCAAGGAATACACCTATTTAATGAACTTAGTTTTTCAATATTAATTTATCTAGTTCTAACTTAATAGGTAATTTATTTTCCAGACATTCCGTTCATTTGGAGCCGGACCCTTCATGGCTGCCTGGCATAGCGCTAAGTCTCTCTGCAGCAGCAATATGGCCTGGTTCATGTCCTGATTCTGGAATGTAAGTTTCAATTTCAAAGGCAAATTTCTACAAGAAGATTCAGTTAAGTTTTTTATCTGCTACCAACTTCTATTAATCGATTTAAAATACCCATGGTATGACTATGTGCCTACAAATTGTTGGTAGTAATGACGACTACATCCACAATTCTCAACCCACTTCCTAAGGTAGGTGGAGAAATGCTAACATTGGCTGCATTGGCTCAGAGTCTAGGTCTTGTCGTCTTGAAAGTGTTTTTCTTTTTCAGTTGGTAGTTCAGTGTAATATGGCTTGAAAGTGAACCAAATCCACTCGCAGAAATTTGTCTCAAGTATTGTACTGTTTTCTCTTTTTTCGTCATAAAGGAAAATATATTGCTGAAGCAAAATTTTCCTAAGTTTATTAGTGGGTTGTAGAAAGTGTTCGCTTGGATGGTTTGGACTTGGAGACCTAAAATTGTAGATAACTTGTGTCTACAAAATTAAGAGACCCAAGTTAAACATCATGAAGGTGTACGTAATGTGAAATGCTGGGGAAGCAGTAATTTCCCTCCATCCTTCTCTTGCCTAAGGAGAATGGACCACTAGACATGGTGCAAAATTAAGCACCACTATACATGCGTCCCTTTACAAATTTCACGTAGAACTTGTTGAAGGCATTCAACTTTTCTAAGTACAACTCCCAAGTTAGAAAATAAATACTTTTGTTTACATTAGTTCACACTACCTGCTCACAAAAAAAAAAAAAAAAAACAACCAGAGTTTACTTGAGTCAATTCAAGCAATAAACTAATCATGGTATATTTTACGATGGCAGAATTTTCCTATGCAGTAACTTTTTTCTGACAAGATTGAGGGTACCTTGTATCAGAAGAGGAAGGAAATGTAAAAGACCAAGCTCTAAATATTTGCATAACGTATAGGTTGATTTTAATGCTTAATTTGGCCTACATGATCATGGTTTTTTTGTAAGCAGGAAATTTAAATTTACAATTTGTATTGTAAACTACGAACATTTATTTCTTCTTTTTTTGCCAGTATGATGTAACATCATTATTTAAGAAGACTCATTCAAATTTATCCTCCTTTTCAGAAAACACTATCGGGAAATCAGCATTCTGATTTACATCCTTGCCTGTGTGTCAATGGTTTTCTGTCATCACACTATTTACTACCTTCAGTACATCATTTCTACTGCGTTTGTAATCATTGCTGGTCACCAGCTGATTGGGAGGTACTTTGCAAGAAAAGCAATCGAGCAAGAGCAAGAGCAACTAACTTTAACAGAAGACAATCCTTCAAGTGAAACGTTATGCCCCAGTGATCAAGAACATGAAGAAATCGCGGAACTTGTACAGTTGTTGCAAAATTCTGCAGTAGAGGAAAAATTCTCGGAACAGGCTGAGAGGAAGGGTAACGAAAAGTTGGAACCTAACTCAAGCTCCGTGGGAACCAATGAGTTTGAAACAGAGGAAGTTCAATCCTCGGGGTCCTCAACTGAGTCGTTTGAGTTGCTCGACGGTCAGGACATCCTTAATCCGTTGCAAGATTCAAAAGTCCATGAGCAGCCAGTGGACATTGATAACAGCTCTCAGGAAGAGCTCACGGCCAAGGAAGGTACCATCGAAACTTGTGCAACTGTTACAGAGTCAGGTGACGCTAAAGATGTTTCGGAGGAAGCAGATGATGTGTCGACTGAAACTGAAGAGTTGTCCAGCTCAGATGAAGAAAGCACCGCTCGCATTGAATCCACTTTGCCAGATTCCAACAAATGAGTTTTTTTTGGGTGCCTGAACTTTTGAAGTACAAGACAAGCTACGAATTAAAGCATTATATCACTGCATTTTCTGTTCATCATCTTGGATTTTGAATGAATCATACAGCTATCAATTTTGAAAGGAACTCCTTTGGCGGCTGTTACAAAGTTTAATCAAAGTTGGCCGAATAGGGAAATTTGGATGAGGTTCTTTGTTTGTTTTATTTCTTCTTTTTTTATTTGGTCTTTGAGTTAATGACAAATTTCAACATTTCTAGCTGGAGTTGATTTTCAAAACCTACATTCACATTTTTTTTATTCACACTACATCCATGAACTAGTTTCAGTGTGGAATTTCTAAGATGATACGCGGTGCTTGTAAGTACTTTAATTCATGCACTCCACCGATCTATCAGTAAGGTGATTTGTTCATGGCTTTGGTTTTTGCCAATTTTTGATAGTTGCCTCATGAATGTAGGCTGAAAAATGGGGTCCAGCAACCAAACTGAATTTTTAAAATTCTTAAATTTCTGCCTTTTAAATACTTGGTGTTTATCCTAAGTTTTTAATAAGTGGAAGTGAAACTAAGTTCTAATGTTCCTGAATGATAAAGAATTCTCAAACGCATATAATTGCGTTAAAATTTTCCTGTTTTTAATTTTAGAAGTTATAATCCTTAATGTGATGATATTGGTTCGATTAAAAGAACCCAATACTATTTTGTTTTAACTAAGTATTGATATCCTAAACTTTGTGCTTTTTTGGTCTTATGGTGAAAGCACAAGAGAATTGAGGACTAAATTTTTGTTTTTGTTTTCTGGATTTACTTGAAATTAAAATGTGTTTTCCTGAAATTCAAAAACACTACTTTCCTTCAAAACTTTGTATAAATTTATATTTTTCTAAGTTCCAACTTTAGTTTTGTGTGAATGTAGTCTCTTTAACTAGTCATTTCTATGATAAGGTGTGTTTATAATAGGTACAGATCACCCTATATTATGTAATTCCTTGCAAGCAAATCTCGGAACTTTAACTCTGCATCAAAAACAATTCTTTGAGTTTTCTTGAAATGATCTTCTGCTATTAATGGTGCTCAAAGTTTGTTTCTATTTTCTTTACACTTTATTTTTTTATCCAAATTTGGCTGCTGCTGTCTAACAGCAGTAGCAAGAACTCAGTTATTTATGAGTGTACAAATAACTTATTGGTTCTCTGTTCAGATGATATCATTACCAGGTCGGGAAAATTTTAGACCCGATTTTAACTGTCTTAATTCTGTAATTTTATGTAGTATACCTTCTGACTTATTTTTGCCAGGAGCATTTCCATGCACATCTTGAAAGTTATCCACCTACAATGATTTATGAAGTCTTAAAAAATACACCGATTTCAATCTGAATGTATCGACGTTCTCCTCTATTTTTCGAGATGAAATTAACTTCATGAATATCCATGCATGTATACTTTGCCTTCTATGATATTTTGAATCTTTTTACTCGTTTGCTTATCAAGAAAAGAAGGCATTAAATTTAGAACATAATATTTTTTATGTTTTCTCAAAGTTTCCTGTAGTGATTAGAAATTTGCAATTTCTGCATGTTTTCACACAACTAACATCGGCCTGTTATCCTGTTTTTTAGACTTACCTATTTTAAACATTTTTCTTCATTGATTTTTCTCTTATTCAAATCATTCTTCATTCTTGAGCAGTTCTACTCTGTGCAAAACTGCTTAGATTTTAAAATTGTATTTCTTCCTATTTTTAGACGTATTGACGCTGCTCTTAGTATTTGTATATTATGTAGGCAAACAGTCATGCCAAATTCTTGCAAACATTGCTTTCTTCCAAATTTGAATGAAATTTGAATTAGTTTTTTTTTAAAGTTGCCTGATCCGAGGAAGTTGTTTATTTAATTGGACATATTTCTGCTAAACAGAGCTACAGACAATAGGAAAGATGGAGTGTGTTTTGGAAAGCTGCATAAAGAAACAATATAAAAGTGGTCGTAATTCCCTCAGGAGAAATGGAAAAGCGGAATTTTACATTCTACCACACGGAACTAAGAATAAGGGCCAACTGTGTGCTGCACTGTTGAGCTGTGGGCATGTGAAAAGAGCGTTGTGGACAGGACTTATAAGTTAAAGGCTTCCGACCGTCGTCCTGCGTCTCGGTTGTCGCTGTTGATGTCACTGGTGCTTTACAAGTCCCATTCATTCTAACAGCCCACAACTAATGAGCACACTCCTTCTTCCTCACCTGCCTTCGTTTTCGTTCAGTAAAAATACGTCCAATTGCAGTTTTATTTGGTTGTCACTTTCAAAACTTGTACTCACAGTTAATTAACCTAATTAAATTTTCAATTTTTTTCTCCTATATAATTGAATTGATAATTTTGAAAACATATCCGACCCATCATTTCTATTTTAATAGAAAATAAATAAATAAATAACTTTTTGAAATTGTGTTTGTGTCCCTTAAGTAATTGTAAGCTTTATGGATTGCATCTAGCTTTACCAGATTGTCAAGAAATTTCCACAAGAGACTTATTGTCGACTCTACGATATTATTGATTCAATTGAATTTGAAGTTTAATCTGCTCAAATAAAATTTTGGACGTATATTTACTATAAATAGTGCTCATTACTTTTTATTAAATTAGAAGGTTTTAACTTTAAAGTACAAAGACATAACCCCACAATGTTTGAAACAAGTCGAATCATAATTGTTTCAATAACTTTAGTTATTACATGTATTTATGCATAGTTGTACCGAAGTGGTCCGGTCGTAAAGGAATATGTTTTGTGATCACAAGAGTGTAAATTCTCTTGCAAAAACAATTTTTTGTTTTCCTGTAGTTATTAGCATGTGAAAGTTGAATTTAATTCAGCTTGAAACTATCTTGAAACCGCCGGTTTTTATAAATGCACAAAAATTCCAGTCATACATAAAGCACTTCATTTCAGGAAGTTCACAATAGTAATGCTTCAATGGAATCAAGTGGATGTAACTTTCAACTTTTATTTTTATTTCATTCTTGAGGAACCTAGATATGTATCAGGTTGGCAGGAGAAAAAATGTATTCAAGCAGTTAAAATTTAAAATTAGGTAGCGGGTTTTTTTTTTTTTATTTTTTTTATTTTTTGATGTACGGACTTAATTTTTGGATCATCAGTAGTATAATCTGTTTAGTCTGAGCCATGTATTTTTTCAGTTTTCATGTTTCAAAAACAAGCCACCTCTACCGAGCTACCTGTAACTGGGTTGAATGGAATTATCAACAGTGAAACTGCAGGAATGCGTACTTTGGTTTGCAGTGTTGCAAACATCCTGTCGTAATTTGGCCTAAAAATTGAAAAACACCTACTCTATGTTTTTTCTTCTTCCTCTTCTTTGAGTGAAGAATACTCAGTAAAAATTTTTAGCCATAATGTAGGTTCGGTTTCCTCCTAAAAAATAAAATTGAAGTTGAGATTTTGAAACACTGCAACTGAGATGTACGCATTTCTGCAGTTTCATCGATGATATGTGTATCACATACTTAGTTTTGTTATGCAATATTTCTGGCTCAAAATAACTTTACCGGAGTCAGTGTGCTCTCCTCTTTAGAAGGTAGGAATAAAGGAGACTGTAATCGAAATGGTACGAATTGCTTTTCTAGTGTTAGTCACTGCTGTTTTCTTTCGTAGTAGGTAGGAGATACTGTGATAGGTTCTCTTGAACTATGTAGATTTATTTTTAGCAATTAATTCATTAAACCGGTGAGATGTGCTGTGAAGGTGTTTGAATGACCTTTGCTTCAACCAATAAGGAAGTCAGAAATTCTCTGAAAAATCAAGTTCCTACATATCAATATCCCTAAGTCCAAAGGTACCTTACTACATTTTGGTAATTTCGAAGAATTAGGTGAAAACCGTGTGTCAGGCCCAGGATCCCCATGCAAGTTGCAATTTTTAATATTCAGTAACTTCTCATAACTGGTGCAAGATAGGACTGCTAAATTTTTCTTTCATACGGAAACATTATTGGAGATTTTCGAAACTTTACTGACTCGATTTTTCCAATAACGTTTGGTCCAATAATTCCAATAGTCTTGATCTTTGTTTTTTATAATATTTTCTAGTTCCCTTGATACTGTAAATAAATAAATAAATACATAAATACTGTGATTTAGGTACCTTTCGGCTTTGGGGTACTGGTGTTTAGAAAAAAATTTCAAAGATGTATACCAGTATGCGAAATAATGTACTTAGGTCGATAGATATGAGCCATCATCGGATGCGCTGATGTTTACCTAAATAGTGCAAACTTTAGGAGAGTCTTCAACTCATCTCAATTTTGAGTGCCTAGAATTTTCAGCTTCTAACATTTTAAATCTTATAAATTGCAAGTTATGTAATCTATCAAATAGTATGATAAAATCTGTCGAGAAGCTTTTTAAATGGCTAAATTTAGTTTTTTGTGCCTAAGCTGAGCAGATCTCTCAAACATTGGGCATCACCCTTTAAAGCTTAGAAATCATGATAGAAAAAGAAAAAAGACCTTTGGATTATTGCCTTCCAGCCTTGTCAGACCTGGCCTGAGCCCCCCTGTGCGAGATCTATTCAGGTGCCTCTAGTGGCATAAAACTTAAAATGAAAGGGTACTTCATGCCACCCTCCCAGGCCATCACCTAGGATCGCCCCTCCTTGAACTAGACCTGTTTTGAAGGCAATGCACTAAGCTTACAGTCAAAACGTTTTTTACTGTTTTTCAGTATGTGCACAACAGCCTGCTCAACAATTAAATCCTTTTCCATCGACAAATAGTTCAAATAACACTTAAATACGAGTGCACATGTGCTTACACACTGCTCCTACACATTTTCTGTTTTGTGACAGGATACATCCCTTAATTATCCTCAATGAATCTAGAGCTTATGTCTCTATCTGGTAAAGCATTATTATTGGCTCATTGTAACTTTACCTATTTAATGATTTTAAACCAGTTTTTGTTAACTTGTTCTTCTAGAGTTTATTCTTGTATTGGTACTTGTGAATTTTTCAATTATTTCTTTTCATAGATATTTTGAAATTAATTACAATATGCAATTTATGGGATCAATTTTTTTTTTTTTGTTGTGAAATGGAAAGGCTTCAAAAATATAATAACTTGTACCGATATTAATGTTGCTAATGAACCTATTTTGTCAGACAAGGTAGTATGTCCTTTCACCCCAAGGGCTGTATTTGTAGTCAGTCCTTTAATTTCAAAGGCTCCGTGAGGTATAAGGAATACATTTATCAAGGAAGCCTGCAAGGGACGACTATGAACACAGTCCCAAGTTTTACTCTTTCACAATTTTTTGGCGTCCACGTCAAATTAATTAGTTTATGTAATTTCAGACTGCAACAGAAGATCCGCCATTTTGATTCTGGCATTCACTTCCCATGCTAAACTGTTGTCAGACAATCTTCTGTCGCAGTCTTGAAGTAAGTAAACTGATTTGTCATGGACTCTGAAATTTTCAATCCTAGGAGATGTTTGTTTTGAAGCCTTTTGCACTTCTCTACTTGTGTCAAAAAATTATTTTTTATTTTTAATCACTTTATCGCTTTGTATTTGGAAGACTTAGGTTACCTACTTCGAGCCTTGCACATCTTTTTTTAATGACTTGTTCAACTCTTCATAAGTTTTTTCTGTCAACTCAGTCATTATCTGCGCTCTGTTTCTTTCTTTCAAATTTTTCAATAAAAGAGATTTTTCTGACACTTCTAAAGAGTTTCATTCTTCCAGTTAGTCGCCTACAAGTTAAAAAAAAAAAAGAAAAAAAAAAAAAAAAAAAAAAAGAAAAAAAAATGTGCGTGACATTAGTGGTCTTACAAGGGGAACTTACGGACCTGCCGCCTCCGATTGGGCTGAATTTTTTTTTACAGACTCTATGGACCAATTCTAGAGGTTAAGTTGAGCCGTTTTCCCGAATGCGCAATAGGAAGGGCGTAAAAAATTCCCAAAAGTTGCGTTTTCGGCGTGTGATTTGGTCGTGCGGCGCGTGGCAACACTGAAACAGCCTCTTGTACCGCTTTATCGGCCTGAAGGTTTCAGCGGAGTCCGGAGCCCTACTGCACACGTACTGGCTCCATGATAGTGATGTGATAGTGAACAAATAAGGTTTTCTTTTGCTTTTTAATTCATTAATTTATATCAATGAAGTTTCATACGATTATATGTGGTCAATGTGAATAAATATCGCGGGAAAATGTACGTAAAATGAGGGGGGGAATAGTGATCGGAACTGCTTGATTTATAAATGCGGATGAAGAATTAAAAATAAAATGTTGCGTGATCATGCGGAAAATAAAAAGTCGAGGATCGAACCCGGGACATCACTATCATGGAGCCAGTACGTGTGCAGTAGGGCTCCGGACTCCGCTGAAACCTTCAGGCCGATAAAGCGGTACAAGAGGCTGTTTCAGTGTTGCCACGCGCCGCACGACCAAATCACACGCCGAAAACGCAACTTTTGGGAATTTTTTACGCCCTTCCTATTGCGCATTCGGGAAAACGGCTCAACTTAACCTCTAGAATTGGTCCATAGAGTCTGTAAAAAAAACATTCAGCCCAATTGGAGGCGGCAGGTCCGTAAGTTCCCCTTGTTAGTGCTTCAATTTTCCCTATGTAATAAATTAAAGCCCTCAGACTGTATTGATTCAAAACAAAGGAATATCATATGCATGTTGCAGGATAGACACGGGAAAGACTCCCCAACTGGATTGCATTTTGCAAAAAGGAACCACTAGCATTGCAATGATGCTAAGATGAAGCAACTTCGTCTTTTCCGATAAAATTGCGGAAATCGTGAAAAACTATGAAATTTAGATAGTAATTTTTGTCTTAAATTTACAGTTTTTAGCGAGTAAAATAGAAACTATTAATGGATAATCGGGTTTTTCCTCCAAGACAAAAGAAGTTGCACAATCTTAGCAACATTGCAATGCTATTGGTTCCTTTTTGAAAAATGCAAGCCAACTCAAATACTCATCATACTAAGTTTCTTTTACTTAAGGACAAGGATTTTCTCATGATTTTATGAATTCTGTTATCCATTTATTTTACTTTTTGTTAGTCTTTTCATCTCAGCAGCAATCTTTAGAGGGAAAAGCATAATTAAATGGATTTGTGTCAGAGAAAAAGAATCAGGGCAGATGGTATAACCAGAGGGAAAAAAGATATTACAATTTTAAAATCTAAAATTAAACAACTGGGAACGTCAGACTGGAATAAAAGGTGGAATGAATGAAAAAGTGAAATCCTTTGAAGTTTATATTAATGATCGAATAAGAATAAAAACAGCATACTGACTTCAGAAGAGCTAGATTTTAATTTATTTTCCTCTTTCGATGGGAACTTTTAATTTTTATCCCACCTACTCTGCCAAAGTAATTTCTGACTATGTGTTTTAAGTCAATTACGGCAAAAAATCATTGGTAAATAGTAACAACATCATAGTAAAGGTTTAGAGAGATTTCTCTTACAGTAAACAAGTTAGGCAACTGCTTGGTTTTTTTATAAATGATTTCGTCTTGAAACAATGATTTTCATTTATTCAGTGGGATGAAAAAAGTCATATCATAAAAATCAATTATTTTTCGTCAGGCAACTAAATGCAGTTGCGAAAGAATACCAGGGTATGCCATCAACAATCATCAATCAATTCAAGCAAGGTCAGTTTAAACCGATGAGGGTCATCACACAAAGATCAGTTGAAATCGTGAATTGTGCAGCCAATTAAATATGTACAGTCATCTCTTGCTTTTGCGTTCAACATTAGCTAATTCTTTTGTAAAGTGAATTTTAAACTTCCGCCTTTCTTCATCAGTTGACAAGTTCAGCCACAGCTTTTCAAGTTTGCTTACTTCATATTTCTGTAAAAAATAATCAACAACAATAAAAATGAGATTTTACATCATAAAAAAACATTTGATCAACTTCAGTTTGTGGCAGCAGCATGTCATATGAGGCTGGGATAGATTTTACTAATTTGAAAGCAACTGAAAAAGCAGGGAAAGAGGATCTTTGCGATCCTTAAAAGGATAGGTGCATACAATTTTTAACTTTTCCTCAGGATGAAAATTAATCAGAAATTAAAACAGAGCCAGATCAACCGTCTGAGTGTGCTCCGAGAGGCTTGCACCACAAAGTCTTTTTTCCTACCTCCACA